GACCATCAGATTCTTCACGGAGTCCTGACGTGTGTTTACATGAAAAGATCACCAGCAAACTGATCTACTTTCATCCAGCTCAGTGACCTCAAAAGGCCTTAATCAGCTTAGATCTTCAGCTGGGTATTTCATTTGAAGACAGCTTCAGTGAATATTGTCCAGGGGTGGAAGGAAATCAGCATACCCCTCTTTCAAGTTCTGTGGAAATTATTTTATTTTTATAATGGAAATAACAAAAACAAAGCAGGAGATAAGGCACTGCAGTATCTGAGAAACTTCCACCTTCTTTTTGGCTGACTCACTGTCACCTGGTGACGCTCTAGTCTCTTGAAGATCTTGTACAGTATCTGCTTGCTTCTGCTTAAGAAAACAGGACTAACACCATTTGAAACCATCACTAATAACAGTTTCCTGTTATAAAACTGCTTTGGATTTTCAACTTAAACAGCTCTGTATTGATTTCAATACAATAAGAAAAAACAAATGTATTTTAATTTAGTTGTGTTCAATCTCTAGATATGACATGAATTTCAGAGCTAGAGTTTAGGTTTTATTTCTTTATTTGGAAGTGCTAGGGAAACAATTTATTCTGTTATGGACAGCATTTAGAGGTTTGGTAAAGTAGAAAGCATTATGCAGTATTGAGGTCAGCTCCGATAACTGAAATCGGATGTGGGATTTGCAGCTCTGTAATGCCAGCTCAGTTTCATGCTACATCTGTATGTCAGAAATATTCACATTTTTTCTGAATTTGAAACTAAATAGAGTTATCAGGTAATAGTTGGTAAAGCACTGTTTGAAAATGAAGCTGGTTATGCGTTTGGCCATCAAAGATTGAAAGAATACTGGAATGAAACACGTGATCAACTACAGCAAACAGCACCCACACTGTAATACCGTGCAGGAGACGCATGTGTACGATCTCTTTGTTTCATGTCAAATAGCACAAGTCTTCCTTTTCTCTGTATTTAACACAGACTTAACAGTTAAAAAACAAAAAATAAACTAAATCCAAATAGCTCTTTTTCCATCAGCAAAAAGCAAAATGTTTTTGCATATGCATAAGTAGTCCCAGTAACTTAAAAATTATTACAGTCTTAAGTGTAAGCATGTGAAATAGTTTACTGTAGACTAGTAGACAAAGGAGAAGAGTAAGTTTAAGTAGGAAGAACATATGGAATTCTAGTTTCATTTGAATTGTTATGTTTTTTTGAAGCTAGTAGATTTTCTTGCTGTGCATTAGTCTTCCTTGTAACTGTTTTAGTGTTTGCATTTGCTTTTTAGCGTGGTACAAAGTATGGTCCATTCAAAAACTATTATATTTTTTACAGCTAAAGTTACTATTAATTATTACTCTAGAACTTTGACAATGACAGATGCTTCAAGAAAATGCATGCTAGTGGCTCCAATGCTATATAAATGGCTTCTTAAGTCACTGTGGTATGAGAAATGCTAACTGTATTTCTAATGGGATTTTTGTAAAGGTTAGTACTTGTTCTGACAGTATCCAGTATTTTATCCAAGGTCTAGAAATTGTATACTAAATCGTTTGGAACAAGGGTTTATCCAAAGAATGATGAAGTTGAGGCAGTTGTTCTGTATTTTTTAAATTATTTTGTGAGTTTTTTTCAGTAAATGCTTTAATTTAAGAGGTTTTGGAAGATAAGATAAAATTTAATTTTTAAATATTTACAAAGCTTCATAATGATTTGATTTGGCTTGTGGCTCATTTTTCTCATTTAGGGAAAAAACATGGAAACTCAGCCTGGAGGAAGTCATCTAGGTGGTTAAGAGTGGAGATTTCTTTTGGTTTTGCTTTTAAGGAAGGATAAACAGAGTTAGTGACTGAAAATACCTTAGACAACTCCCTCTAAACAAAAAGATATTTTAATTGAGTAATTTATTTAAAATACTTGGGATATCAGGTCAAGAAAAAGTCTTTGCTTTTTGAGTATTTCAAGACCTTTACAGATCTGAAGTTAACAGTCAGATTGCCATTAAATGTCTGTCCTCTAATTAAATTCTGCAAAATTCTTTGTCTAAAAATCCATAACTATTAACGATTCTCTAGATTAATTTGAAATTATCTATTTGATAGGAAGGTTGAATATATAAAAAAAAAAAGTCACAAAGTAATAGTGTTTAAACTAAACTGGTTTTTAATTTTGTTCAGCTATGTATGTAATATACATTTAAAATTCCTTCCCTTCTTTGCTATTGCATCTTGTTGGTTGCAGTGTGTTTGAAAATTGCTGACTTGGATTTTGCCTGTGACCATGGAATCCACAAGCACTCTCCTGATCTGTATTTCAGATTGCTTTTTCTTTGTGAATTTTGACTGTTGATGCATAGATGTGTGGAATAAAAGATGTGTTCTAGTGTTCGTGCTTTCTAGATAACGAGAATCTGATTTGATACAGACTCTTGAACGGACACAAAGCTAAGCTGAATGATGCACGGAGGGTTGGGATTAAGAGAGACTTTGAGAGCTAGATTTTTTTGTTTTAAATGAGGCATTAGAGTTGATGATTTAAGATGGTGCTACTTGAAAAGGAGCATCTGGATTACTAGTCAAATATTTTCCTGGAAATAACTAATATAAACACTTTATTGCTTCAGTGACCTTTTTATATTGTTAATTTGTATAAAGTGTGTTTGTTAACAACTTTAGCATTTGTGAAAAGTGCTAAAATTCCCTTCATACTTCAAAAAAGAAGTTTTGGCACAGAGGGATTCTTAGTATTACTGTTAATAAATCTCGTAACTATCAGGAGATACGCTGTTATTCCCTGGGATGCGTCTCTACTATATCAACAGGTCCAGCATACAGAATCCTCATGGACTATGCATGATTTCTGCCAGATCCATCTTTTTCATTTCATACCTAAAATTTAATACCTGTTGATAATTTAGCCTAAAATTCCGAAACGGAGAACAGTGAAGTTTCAGAAGGGGAAAGTGCATCTAGATTTAATTCTAAACAGGCAGTTGAGTTGTACTTGTGGAAGCTAGAAATACAGACATGTTTTCTCCTAGCTTTACCCTTAAAAAGGAATGGGAGGCCTAAAATAAAAATGGTCATGGTGTTAAGGACTAAAATAGCTCAGATTTTGTTCCATTTTACTTGTTTTCCAAATTATTATAGAAGTAACTTTTATGATTTGTTTTTTCTCACCAGCAGATACTTGGGGGAGATACTATGGCAAAGTCTGGTATAATACACTCTCTGTTTGCCATAGGGCATCAAACATCATGCTTTCCCTTGAAGCATTAGGTGATAGTAAGCCACTGCTTCCAGGTGTTCTGTCATTACCATGCTGCACTGCTATTCATACTTACTGCTTGTTTCATTACGTTTTAGTAGTTAGTGTTTTATTGCTGTTCATTAGCTTTTTATCACGTTCATTAATGTTTCATCACTGTCTACCACAAAAGATAGATAAGGGTGTGAGATGCAAGCTCAGGTGTGCACAATTTCTAGTAACAGCTGTCTGTGGGAACTGTAGCTAAGAGAACTCTATAGCTGAAATTGTGATAGGCTCACCTCGTGCGCCTTGGTCAAGTTCTAGGTCCTCCTTCCCTCTCCATCATACCACTTCTTATTAATTGTGTTCCTTTTTTTCTGCAGTATTTTATGTACTGTTGGTTGAAGTAGTTACAAACAGATACAAAATCATATTTTTGTTATAGCAAAGTAACCTAATACAGGATGGCTGTTACAATCATGTTTTCTATTCATATTTCTCTAAATAATTAGTTTTGTGGTTTGCATTGTTTTAGGTTTTGTTGTTTCTGTCAACTTTTTCATGAAACTGTTGTAGCTTTTAAAGATTTTTTCTGTTATATGTATGTGTTCCCATTTGGTCCTAAAGATTTTTTTTTTCTCAGAAGACCTTTTTCTTTTTTGAAAAGCTTATGACAAAAAGATCTTCAACTTTTCCCTGTGGAAAAACATATTAAGTCTTCTGGGTTAATTGCTTTGGTATAATCTGTTTATTTAATGAAAATACTCTATGGCTTTACTTTTTGAAAAAAAATCTTTGCTAGATTTGAATATTGAAGATGTATTCACACCTGCAAATTCCCATTCTAAAACATTGCAATAAGTATTTATTTTAGTAATCTAATAACTTGAAAGATTTTCTGGAGTAAACTGTAATATGAAACTACCAAATCTGTAGCTTTTAATTTTCCTAAATTAACTAAGCTTTCTATGAACACTGCTTGCTTAAAACTGCCGTAATTTTGCTCTTAAAGAATGTGTGAGAGTATTTTACTCTTTAAGCACTTGAGATTGAAGGACTGTATTGGTACTACAAATATACTAAACATAGCAAGTAGATTCTCAAAAACAAACAAACAAACAAACAAAACCATTCAGTGAAAAATTGAAATTTTGAATAAATTATGGATTAAAGATGTATCTGGCTGAAACCTAGTATTATGTTATTCTCAGAAATTGCAGTTCTTAACATTTTTGGTAAGATAGCTTAGAGCAAAACTAAAAAAGATTTCTTCAATGACTGATTAAGAAGTCACTGTTAAAATGCAGACCAGTCTGAAGCAAAGTTTGAAAAGTACTTTTTCTTTTTTCCACAATACACGTTGCTGTTATTTTTCATGTTGGTGTTTGTCTTTATGTTGGTGTCTTACTTCTTCAAGATGTTCCACTTTTTGCCATTCTGTCATCTTTAAAAGAGAAATTGTTGTTTTCAGAGCGGCAGAATCAAGGTCACATAATTTTCAATTTTGTATCTAATCCATGTGGGTACCTGACAAAAACATGCACTTAACATAATTTACAGTATCAACTGTATTTACACTGAGCTACGTCCTTGGTAAGGGTATGCTTTAGCATGAATGAGCTGGTAAAGCAATGTCATCTTGGAACTTTAATACAGAGTTCTCGGAGGGGATGGAATAGTTTGAATATATTTTATTCTGTGCTGTCTTTCCCTAAGTTCTAAAATAATGTTTATATGAATTTGTTAAATCTATAGGGATGCTTCATTTGGGAACTGCACATACAATCTCACGATCTTGGACTGTTTACAGGGAGTAAATAAGGTAACCATGCTTTTCCTTAGCAAAACAGGTTTAAATTGACTTTTAAAAAAAGTGAAGTAAAACACTCTTAAAATACATTAGAAGAAAATCCGGTTTCAAAGCAAGATGCGTGTCAATGAGTAGTGTGCTGTCATGAAGCCTAAGTTACTGAGAACTGTGTTGGAGTAGTGACAAGGGAAGAAGGGTAAAGGTTATATTTCTGCTTGGTTAGCCTTTGATAACTTTCTGTAGCTCACTTTATGAATTAGAATTCATAAATTATGAATTATGAATGCAAACATCCCAGGCCCCATCTCAGGGTGGGGTTACAGGTAATGCACTAGATCTGCTAACAAATCATTTATAAACCTAGGTTGACAAAATCAAGGTACTTTTGGTATTCTGTGACTTAATCTAAGCGCTGTTTTTTGTATTTTTCTTTTTGGATACTTAACTCCATTTCAGTGTTTGACACCTGTTCTTTTCAGAATTCTTTAAAAAGAATGAAAACTAGTGTATCTTACTAGTGTTTTGGTGTGTCATTTAAAAAAGTTTGTCAACTTGCTTGTTAAAGCTCTGCCTTGCATGTGCTGTGGTTTCAAAATACGTTTAATAATCGATGTAAAAATTATGAATTTATCAAAAATAATTTGAAAAGCATAATTTAATTTGCTAAATTTGTGGTTATGGTCCTGGGGAAAATTAATCTCCAGTGCTGCTTTTTAAAATGCTATTTTATATATTAATTGTCAAGTTGGTGTTACAGTATATACTTGATACTGTAAGCAAAGATCAAATTTTTCATCTAATTTCCCAGTGATCTTAATGAGAGGAACAGGTTATATAAATGGTTCTGTACTGACACCTTATAGACTATTTGTAATTCTTAAAAGTATGCCAAAACAAGTGTTTCTTAAAAACTCAAAAAAGGACAGATCAAGCTTAATATTTTTAGTTCTGTGGGGGTGGGAAAGGAGCTGTCAGTTAACAGTAAGACTCTTAATTTGTGTGGCTTTCTACAGATCCTGAAGCTCTATGAAGCAGTCAGTATGATTTATCTGCAACAAACATGTCAAAAGGACTCTGAAAACCATTTTTTCCTTTTCTGTTCCCGTAAAATTTATTGAATCTCTGTCCAGTTCACCTGCAGAAATAAAGCCATTTTGAGTAGAAACTCTATGGCTAAATCTAAAGTAAAATCTTAGTCTACCTGAGTAAATTTCATGACTTTGTTGCATATATTACATACACATAATCCAGGGGGCCTACAAATTCTGGAGTGCAGCCATCTAGCCAGCTTCAATGAAATACACTTTTCTAGATTTGCCATTCAAAGAAACCACTCAGTATCTTAGGTTTCATGACAACATTGTCTACTTAAATAAACTATTTTAGTTTTGCCTAAAAAGAAAGAAAAATAATTGTAACAAAAAGTGGTGAACACGATTGTTTTCTAAAACATTGATATATGGTCTTTTGTTAACACACCTTAATCATAGAACGTTGTGCAATGTCTGTACTTTTCAGAACGTGTTAGATTCAGTATAAATATATGCTGCAGAAATGTATTACACCAATTCTTTGGAAGAAATTTATGGTAACGATTGCTTATTCATAAAATTGTTTTTAATATTGTTATATACAAATCTTTAGTACAAAATGGACTTATTAAATAGTAGTACAGGGATCAAATACAAAACTTAATTTCTTTCAATCATGTAATAAATCTTGTCTACCGTAGTCTTGTTAACTTCATGCTACCAATGGAGTGCATTGAGAGAAGTATTAACAACAAATCATAAAATACAGGTTACACGTAGTACTTCTGTGTAAGATTTTTGCCTGGGTATTATGCTAATAAAATCAGAGCATCATATTAAACACAGAAAAGAAATAAACTTTTTGTGCATTTTGGTCATAAAATATAGAACGTTAAATATATTCAGCACAGAAATTATCAAATGACTATGACAAAAAGGGAATTACTTTTTGTCATCTGCCTTAAAGAAAAAAAAACATAGGAGTGTGTGGAGACTCAGTTTTAAGATTTAACTGATATGCAACAAACTTGTGTCACATCATAATGTCTTTGAAGGGGAAATAATGAACCTGATGTTTTTGGACATTGTTAAAGTTTTTGTTGTCTGTGTTGTTAGTCTGTGCAAAATTGAATGTTGTCTTAACATAGAGACTAAAGCAAGCCAAAAGCACAAACATTTAGTGATTTAGTTTTAATTTTTAAGAACAGCATTATAAAATGAGACTATAAATCATATTTAAGAATGAACTGACACCTTGTTGCCTTTTAGGCCTTACAGCATGGATTTTTTGACTTTAAGACATTTGATGTGGATGAATATGAACACTATGAGGTTTGTATGTTTAATGAGCTTAACGTGTCTGGTTTGCCTTAAGTTAGAATACCTAGTATCCCGCAAGTTTAAAATATATTGGAAAAATATTCTAAATCAAGTAAAACTCAGTCTTTGTATGTACGGTAAGTACATGAAACCACAGCAGTTCCCTTGGTTAGGTAACTGTTGGAAGCCTACAGATACCTGAAACTTTATTCTGTCTGAACAATATGCAAGATGAGTAGCGTTACAATGTGATGCACTGAAATTGCAAGAAATCTGTTCTCTCATAGCCTTCCTGGCTTCTGGGACTGCTTTCATACTTTCCCATTCTTCTTCCAGGATATGACTCCAAGTCTCTCAGCTGCCCCACAAAATCTGTTTTCTTTCAATACCTGTGGAACAGCTTCTTGAGATGCTATTAGTCCTTGGTATATGATAAATTTTTGTATAGCCATATAGATTAAGCACATTGTGAGCTCACTTTTTTTTTATCAGTGCATTATATAGGATTCTAGTAATTAAAATGCATCTAAAAATTTCCTTAATGAAGTCCCAGAAAGCTAAGTTGTCATTCATTTTTCTGCCATTTGTCTTACAAATTAAGAATAGATGCTCTGGGTGGCTCTGGATTCCTTCAGGACTTTATTCTGTAATTTTAAATGTAAACTGTGTAAGTTCTTATCTCTATCTTCTAGTAATAGACAGCCATTTCAAGCAATATTGCTGCAGAGAAACTTTGAAATATACTCTTGCTGCACCTGTGAGCCGTGTTGTGTCCAGAGGAAATTCCAGGCCCAAAGTGTATATCCAGATTAGTTGGGTGTTTTTGTCTCATATTTCCACTCGAAAGGAGGAAGAGGGTTTTTAATGAAGACGGTAACAAACAATGTAGTTGTATTGGAAGTTATTTTTGGAGCTGTCTATAGTTCTTGCTATTGCATTGGTTAGGGAGAAAGATTATAGACTAGAGGTGTACTAAATGTTTGAATATATATTCAACTCTCTTTTTAGAGTTCAGAACATTAACATAGCTTGAGAAATTAGTGTAGCCTTTGATGAACTACTTAGTTTTAGCTTAATCTGTGTATAGCAGTAAAATTTCATTCTAAAAATCAATGGTGGGTGGAAACTCTTAGTAATGTGTATATGTAGTATACAATGAGCTGCCTGAAAAGAAAGTATTAGAGCAATTGGCTAAAGCTGTATACAGAACAGCCCCTGTATCTTGTTTAATGCTTAACATCATTTTACATTTCTGTGAAATGTATGCATGTCTGAATGAATCCTGTTCGCTGTCTGAGTTTGTGAGAACTTGGAATCCTTTTTAATTTTTTTGTCTATTCTTTGTGTCTTCTACTATTTTATGTATGATGGTCAGCTTTGTATTTTAGATATATACTGTGCTGTATTTCTAGAACTTTAATTGTTCCATATGTTTCTATGTTAGCTCTTCAGATGTATAGCTGTGTGGAGAAAAGTTGCATAAGATTTAAAAGGAGCAGGCTAATGGAAATTCAGTTTCATCTATGAAGATGAACTACAGAGTTCTTCCATCTTACTGCACTATCAAGGCAGCTAATTCCCCTTTTGTTAATCAAGTTCTCAATTTACTACAGTGATGTTTGCATATGGTGCTGAATATATATATATAGTTCAGAGTGGTTAAAATTTAAATTTTTCACAAAAAGCTGTGTACTACAAAGAACTAATTAACTCATAAATAAAACGGGTAATGCAAATATAAAAATAATTCAGATGGATTGAACAGAATTGCTTTAATAAAGGGAGTAGAGGTGCCATGATATTGAGATTGCAGTCTGGAATAGAAATTTGTGTGTTGTGAGGAGCGGTCCTGACTTGGCAGTAAGAATCATTTCACTAGTCCTTACGCAAGCTTGTTAACTTACCGGAGTTTTTGCTGTGTGAGGATATTTGGAGCAAGCCTAATGGGGTTAGCTAAGCAAACAGTTGGTGAATTGATTACAGTAATGCCCATTATCAGAACCTTTCATTCATTAAGATGTTTTGGTGAGCTGAGAGCAAAAAACACAAGCTTCATAATGCAGTTGAACTGAATGCCATGTCCTTAAAAGTCATGCTGACAATAATTGCATTGCCAAGTGAGGAATGGTCAATCTTCGTTTAAAAAAAAAGACATTCTTCAGTTTAATCAAGAAAAGAATTCACAGAACATTTCTGGAGTTTTCATTTAAAAATGAAAAGCCATTTTTGCAAAGAGATGCAAAACCTCAGTTTATTTTTTATTTTTGATCTATATTTTGCTTCTATGATTGCGAGCTCATTAGAGCTATGCCAATGTGTGAATTTCCATTTCTACGGAGAAAGGATAATTGCTTTTGAAGGCTAATTGTTCTTTGTAATTTGTTTTCCATGAATTGGCTTTTTAGTGCCTACTTCCTTACAGGGAAGCATTTTTCCATATTCTTTGACTAAAACACACGATAATGCTAGTGTTTGCCAGCAATATTATACATTGGTGTCTTAAAACCACAAGCCCTGTACAGGACAAATACCTTAGATATAGGATCCACTTTTATTTGAAAAACTTCTTAGCAAAACTTGCCGTGGCTTTGTTTTATGAAGAGATTTCTGAGAAACAGTTTACGTTTAGTTCTTATTTAGCTTATAAATATAGGACAAACTTATATTTGAAGTGTTTTAATGCAGCAAGAACATAGTAAAACAAACAAACAAACAAAAAAAAAAAGGAACAAACTAATTTTTTTAACTTGTATCTAGAGATATTAAAATGTTTTTTCTTTCTTGCATTTTTTTTTTCCAGCGAGTAGAAAATGGTGACTTCAACTGGATTATTCCAGGAAAATTTCTGGCATTTAGTGGACCACATCCAAAAAGCAAACTTGAAAATGGTATGGTTCAGGGTTTTAGAGTGTGTATTTTAGTGCTATTCTTTTTTTTTTTTGTAGCATGTTAAACATATGTAGCAAATGAGCAAAAGATCATAGATGTTTATAGATTGTCTTCAGAAATAATAATGCAGTGAACATTTTATATGCAGTCATAGAACTTAATTTCAAAGGTCTCTTCTAACAGTCAGTGATTTCCATTCAGAGCAAAATACCAGAAAAACTCAGGTACTTTACTTACTGTCTGGAAACTGACACCTGATAGGATAAGTATGCAGAATTAAAGGTGAGTTGTATTAAGGGTTTTGTAACAAAGGCAAGGAAAGTCTTTAAAAGGAAGTTTGTCTTTCCTACTTGGGATAATGGAAAGAATATATGTAATTCTAATGGAATACAAAAAGAGAAACTTGACTGACAAAGTAGAGATTTGGTCCAGCTAAAAGGAAAATCAATCATATTTCTTGCTTAATTTCACCTCATTCCTTGTACCATGCTATTTTGTTTCTAAGAGCGCGTTTTCTGAGTATCTACCTCTTTACTACTGCTCTCTCATGTTTCCTTTACTTGTACAATATGTCCACTGAAGATTTAATCAAAATCTATGGAGACAATATTTTGGTTGCTTTGGATTTTCCCCTAGTCGCTGTTGGAGTTGCTGCTTGCAGAACATCTTCAAAATGATCCAAATTATTCTGTAGAATCTGGAAAATCTTTAGTTTTTAGAATATGTTTTTTTAGAATCTGTTATGTTTTTAATGTGTATACAACTGAAATACTATTAAATGAACACTAATGCTTATGATCCAGTTATGAGAGTAAGTACACATTGCAAAGCTACATTTTTCTCATTATGCTGCAACTCTAATCGTATTGACCAATGTGTATATGACTTGTAGAAATGTCCCATGAAATGTCTCAAACCTGTTTGATCTAGGGAGATCAAGTAATGCTATTGTATTGGTGGGGATGTGATGTGGACTAATTTCACCTGCACCTTTTTTGCAGTTTTATACTACTTACTACCTAGGCATAGGCATGCCTTACTACCTAGGCATTTTTAAATAAAAATGTTCAATTCAGGAATGCGTGCAGATATCAAGTAGCTTAATTTTTGAGTGTAATTGATGTGGAGGGAAGTAACTGTAAACCTGTTTAAGAATCAGAAGAAAAATACATGGGCTGAGGTGAAATCTAGCATAAATTAGCAGAAACTTACCAAGAAGGAGCTGGGAAAAGAAAGTAGTTGGCAAATTAAAGGTAAAGGAGAAGTAAACTAACTAGAAACTTGATGAGAACATCACTTAATCCTTTCTTTTCTCTCTACCTTTATGAACACTTCATCTAGAGGATCATATTGTGTCTCAATTGAATCAAGGCAATAAAGCTTTTTTTCATCACAGTGAAGCATCAATTTTTCTGGCACTGCTTTACCCTTGACTACTCCTCTTGTCCATAATGTAGATCACCAATCTGTTTTCCTCATAAACACAATCTGTCCTATTCCAGCATGTTTTATTCTTATGATAAAGAGCTGTTCTGAAATGCTAAGTTCGTATATGTAGTTAGCTTTCAACTATCTGTAAATCTCTACAAGTAGAGGGGAATGGGCTAAACAAGAGGCAGTACAGTGCTTCAGAAATGCTGTGCTTTATTTTTTTTTTCTGATTTCTTTTAATTATAGTGAGCATTTTGTGGATGTTTTCAATATCAACAACTTTCTGTATTATTCTGAATAAAATATTAAAACATCTTCAGTATTAGGATGTTTACTAGTCAAAAATTTTTAGAAGGATTTTGACTAGCAGGACACTGAACTTCATTCTCATAAAACAGTTGTTGCAATGCACCTTGCTTTATTTGTTTTTTTACAGGTTATCCTCTCCATGCACCTGAAGCCTACTTTCCCTATTTCAGGAAACATAATGTCACATCAATCATAAGGCTAAACAAAAAAATTTATGAGGCAAAACGTTTCACTGATGCTGGGTTTGAGCATTATGACTTGTTCTTCATAGATGGAAGCACACCAAGCGACAGTATAGTTCAGAGGTTCCTGAACATTTGTGAGAATGCTGGCGGTGCTATTGCTGTACACTGTAAAGGTACGTGAATGTATTTATTTCTCATACTGAAGTTCAAAATAAGTATAAATGCATAGAATTTATTTCAAAAAATTTTAAAAATGATAAAACCCTGAAAAATAACCTATTCATGTGAAAGTAATACTGCTTTTTAATTTGACTAAATATGTGACAAATACCAAATATTTTCATGTGCATATTAAGCTCTTTCAGCCTACACTACTGTGTACAGAAACTGACAAACTGTTGTTCATTGTTCTATGATTTTTTTCTTTTAGTTTCACTTGAATGCATGAGTTTTAGTTAATGCAGACTTCTCTTTTGCATTATTCTTTCACAGTTGGCATTTCCTAGCAGATTAGTATAATGCTAATGACTGAAAGGGTTTCTTTGTGCTTTTGGGACTGTTATTCTACATTTTTCTGTGGAGCATAACTTCTACGTTTGCAAGTTAATGTGAGTTATTGTGATGCCAGTGTTTCAAACCAGCCTATGTCAGCGTATCAGCTAGAAAATATACAGAACATGCTTAGTCAAGAAGGATTAACAAAGGCTCTGAAGGGTTCATCTTGATGTATGTTTGAAGAATTGTGTAAAGACATTGTGGAGACAAATGTCTTGCTGATCTGAAACAGTAATAGTGCTATTCAATCAATGTTGTTGTGTTTTGTTTGTTTTCCCTCATGAGCACTAAATACGCATGTCAGGTAAACAAGCTGATTTGCCAGCAACTTGTTGGTGTGGCAGAATTATATACTGTTCAATACATATTGCTTTTTATATAGATAGTTCACTTCACCAAGTACAGGGGAAGAACAACTCCAGGCACCAGTATGTGCTGGGACTCACCTGGCTGTGAACAGCAACTTTGCAGAAAAGGACCAGGGAGTCTTGGTGGACCAAGTTGAACGAAACACTGTGCCCTTACCACTAAGAAGGCTAAGAGTATTCTTGGCTACATTACGCAAAGCATTGCCAGCGGCCAAGATAGGTGATCCTTCTACTCTACTCAGCATTGGTGAGGCCTCACCTGAAGTGCTGTGTCCAGTTGTGGGCTCCTCAGTACAAGACAGACACGGACTTAATAGAAATGGTCCAACACAGGGCCTGATCAAAGGACTGGAGCACTTCTATGAGGAGTGGGTTGGGACCATTCAGCCTAAAAAGGGCTTAAAGGGGTAGGGGAGTGTTGCAGGAAGCACGGCCAAAAGCACAACAGACACCAGTAGAGTCAGATTGTGCTCAATTTTATTGCCCAAATAGCCTAACTTTTATAGCGAACTTAACAGGGGCAGATAGTGTTTCACACAAGATTATTGGTCAAAAGCACTCAGACAAACAACTACAAGAAAACAACCCCCTTGTGATTAGCAGTCACATAGACCTTGTCCTTGAAGCCAGCTACTGGTAACAATATTTTTCTGAATTCCTCAATTGGGTGATGTGGGAACACTGTCATGGGAACTTCTCATAGTTGCCCTGGTATCTTGGTTTGCTCAGCTACAGCAAGCCATGGGATTTTTGCTGTTTCAAAAAATCCCTCAACAGGGGAGATTGATAAATATCTGAAGGTACAAAGGTATCGGGATTTACTTATTTAACTAGTTTTTGCAAGTACAAAATCAATCTTGGTCACAGTTTTCTTAAATATCAACCCTTAAAAAATGTTTGAGGGAGAAGTGATCAGTTGCATGTTTTCTTAAGGATGTTTTTTTGTAAATATGATATACTACCTCATATATGTACAGCACTGAAATACAATAATATGGCAAACAGGATACTGAATCAGAAATTTTCTTCAAATATTCAAGTGGTAAACAACATTATTAAAAAGTTTTCTTATATCTTATACTTGAATTTGATACTTAGGAAATGCTCATGACTTTGTGTGTAATATTTGTGTTTCTTTAGCTGGCCTGGGGAGAACAGGAACGCTGATTGCCTGCTACATAATGAAACACTATAAATTCACGCATGCTGAAGCCATTGCTTGGATAAGAATATGTCGACCAGGCTCTATTATAGGACCTCAGCAACACTTCTTGGAAGAGTATGTGTATTTAATTTGCTACTAAGAATCAACTGCTTTTCTACATCCTTATTCTACATTGTCATGGTTCCGCTCGAGTGGGCAGCCGAGCTCTACCACAGCCGCTCTCTCACTCCCCCTCCTCAAAGAGGGATAGGGAGAAAATATGTGTAAAAGGCTCAAAGGTGTTGAGATAAGGACGAGAAAATCATGCAGTAATTATTGTAACAGGCAAAACAGACTCGGCATAGGGAGATAGTAATAAGCAATAAATCTTACTAACAAGCTAGAGAAGTGAGAAACAAAGGAAAGAAACCAAAAGCACCTTTTCCCCCCCCCCCCCAATCCACCCTCTTCCACCTCCTCCCCCCGAGGGGCGCAGGGGAATGGGGGTTATGGTCAGTCTACAGCACTTCTTCTCTGCTGCTCCTTCTCGGTCATTCTCGTCCCCTGTGCTGTGGGGTCCTTCCCACGGGATGCAGTCCTTGATGAACTGATCCAGCGTGGGCTTCCCACAGGCAGCAGCTCTTCCAGAGCTGCTCCAGATATGGGTCCGTACCACGGGGTCCATTCCTCAGGAGAAAACTGCTCCAACCTGGCTCCCCCACGGGCAGCAGCTCCTGCCAGGTCACCTGCTCCTGCGTGGGCTCCTCTCCACGGGCTACAGGTCCGGCCCGGAATCTGCTCCGGCAGGGGTCTTCCACAGGCGGCAGCCTCCATCGGTGCAGGGCCACCTGCTCCACCGTGGTCTCCTCCACAGGCTGCAGTATGGAACTCTGCTCCACCGTGGTACTCCATGGGCTGCAGGGGGACATCCTGCTTCACCATGGGCCTCACCACAGGCCGCAGGGGACTTCTGCTCTGGTGCCTGGAGCACCTCTCCCCCTCCTTCTGCACTGACCTTGGCGCCTGCAAGGCTGTTCCTCACTCCTCTCACTCTCCCAGCTGCTGTGTGGCGCAGCGTTTTTTTTCCCTGTCTTAACTATGCTCTCACAGAGGCGCAAAACAACATCACTTATTGGCTCAGCTCTGGAAAACAGTGGGGCCCTTACCAAACATGGGGCAGCTTCTAGATCCTCCTCACAGAAACCACCCCTATGGCCCCCTGCTACCAAAACCTTGCCACGTAAACCCACTACATACATCTTTATCCATCTTGTGCTATTGTTTAGGATCTATTTTCTGTCTTCTAATACTGTATATTACTGCCTGCTGTAATATATTTAAGTTGAGATTAATTTGAGATTGAGGTAGAGCTTATTAGCAATCACCTTCTCTGGAGCGCTGTGCTTTTTGTTGCCTTCAGGGGCAGAGGGTCTCAAGACTGCATATTTGTGATCTGAGGGTCTTAGGAGATAAACACATTGGCAGTATAAATTCCAGGTGTAGATGTAAGATTAAATCAACAATAAAGATTTATTAAAATGTTAATACAGAAAAGATATACTTTATATACTTCAAGCCTATGATGACACTTGAATCTTGCCATAGTAATAGTTGAATCATTTTTCTTTATTGTAACTAAGGATTAAATAAGTGTGTGGTGGGCAACTTATGCTCTCTGTCAGATTCCTGACATAATGTATGAACATTTCTGACCTGGAGCTAATGTAGTTATTAGCAAAACATAACTATAGTTTTAATATGGCTCCTTCTCAAATTTGACTATATACTTTAATTTGAAAACACTTTGTGTACAGGTAATTTGAATGGGAGATTCAAAGTTTGATCCTGACTGGGTCTGACTGGAAATACAATTTCCAGTACAATTACACTGGCTTCAGTGATGTTGATGTTGGGTGTAATTTCATAGTGACTTCTGTGTTGAATTACTACTGTAGTAGTCATGCCGATATTTCTGAGGTGATACCTTCTTCAGCTAAACATCAGGCATTTTCATTGTTATGACGAAAAGATACTGTATAAATACAGAAAAACATTATCTGACCTTGCATCTAAAATAGGATTCCAGAGAAAGAAGTGTTACTGTAATTCCTAACAGAAATGGAGCATGAATTAGGATTCCTATTTACGTTCTGCTCATTGGAATGGATACTCATTTATTTGAGAAATGGCCCACCATTGTTCAAAATACTGTAAATCACAAACTTTCACGAACCACAAGTGCTCACTGAAGACAGATCAAATTTTTCTACACCTTGCTGATCCTTGGTTGATGAATTTCTAAAAATAACTTCCATAATACAGCACGAATAAGAGAGGAAGATGTTAGGTGATTAGTAAGTGCTGTTCACTTGAAGAATGAGAAATACATGTACAGTAACTAAGTCTTTTCTGCAGTGGCCTTGAAATACTTAGTTTGATTTTGTAGATAGCCAAAGATCTTTCAGATTTTTTCATTAATATCTGTATCATTTATATCATTTATATCCAAGAGTTGTTGTATTGGTCAGTGAGAACTGAAAAACCTAATGGCAAGAGATACCTGTTTGGATATTCAGACAAAATTCAAGTGATGTCACCAGTAGCCTCAAAATGGGAATGAGGAGGAAGAAACTAACATCAGTTTTATCAGTCTAATATGAAAAGTCTTGGTCTCAGGACTGCAAAATTGCATCTGACAAAAAGGTTAAATCTTACAAATTTGCTCTCCCAGCTTTCATAGATGTCAAAGCTTCATCTCCTTAGGTCCTTTGAGGTTTATTGAGGGAGGTTTTGAACAGGTTTTTTTCCTTTTTTTTTTTTTTTTTTGTAGGAAAAAAACATCACTTGGGTAGGAGGGTATCAAATGAGTTTGCTACTGTGAATGCAATTAATCTTGAAAGACTTAAAATGTTCTTGAATTTGAATGTCTTTTATAGGCTGCTTTTGTTAGGTGGATTTAGTGGGTTTGTGTGCTTCCCCGCCACCCCAACACACTTAGTTTTCTTGGGATGTGGTGAAACCTTTCAGTGTTTAGCTTTCCCATTCGTTATTGTGCAAGCTTGGGCAACTGGATCAGGCTACTTGACTCTTAGGCTTTACCTTAACGTTCTGTTTCAAAAGAAAAGTTTCCAGTGAGGTTATCTTCTCAGACTTTTTTTTCTGTTCAGTTTTAAGAATTTAATTTTGTTATGATAATAGGTAATAGGATCTCAGTTCTTGAATTGGAACTTCTATGTATAGAAGCTTGACAGGTATCTATCCAGCAAAAGCACGCTAAGCCCAAGTACATAGCAATTAAATGATGATTATTTTTGCCACCTGTCTAAAGGATGTAATCTTGTATTTTCTGAAAGTTGCTCCTAAACTCCTGTTAAACTTCACATGACGATGGCCACTTCTGCCACACAATATCCATATACACAAGATGTATGCTGATAGTAAGTTAAAGTGTGGTGTCATCGTTTATTCTACCCATTATGTATATAAAAGAATTAATTTATATGATTTTTAAATGGCTTTTAAGAGCCTTTAAATGCTATGGCAATTCAGTTAGTTAATCTCTTTTACTATTAGGATTTTGCAAAATGAAGTTTTAGTTGTGTAATATTTCTTCGATGGCTACAGACTTGTTTTGAGATTGTTTCTTTTGTATGTTTTAACCATCAAAGATGATTTTTTTAGTGTTAAAATGTTCAGACTATTTATTTTCAGTTGAAGATGCACAGAGGATTCAAATGTTGTCAATCTATAAAAGTAGCATGTTTCCATATTGTTTTTATCTGTGTGCAAATTTATTGATACTAAGTGATTCCTTTTGAATCCAAAAGGAAGCAAGCAATGTTATGGCTGGAGGGAGATCTCATCCAATCCAAACAGAAACAACGAGTAGTTGATGGAAACATTAACAGAGTTCTTTGTGGCTTGAGTGATATGTCAATCAGTGACAGCTTGAAAAAAGTACAAGACTTGGATCAATACGGGGAGGTAAGTGTTTATAAGAAGAATTTCAAATAAGCAGAGATAAAGCTGATCATTATAAGTAGCTATAGATCACATTTAGGTTTGAGGGGTTTTTTTTGGACTTTTTTTTAAATAGGTTCAATTAGAACAAATCTCAATTTTCTCAAAAACAAAAAAGCTTGGAGTATATTTAAAACTTTGTGAAAAATATACAAAACTTTGTGAAATATATGTAAAAGTGTCGGTCACTTCTGGTCACTTCAGGAAGGTTTGTGTAATTTCAGATAAGTCTTCCACAATTTTCAGTTGTGGTTTTTTTTTTGTTTGTTCATTTGTTTTGGAAACATAGGGGATAAATTTTCCTAATGGAAATCTACTTATTACAAGCTTCTAGCTGGTAATGCATGAGTGTATAGATGTCCGTCCCTTTATTGCAGTGTTGTGGATTACTGCTGTTACATGTACATTTGGGTTAAGGATCTTATAATTATTTAGTGTGAGGAGAGGCATGAAGTATCAGCTAAAGTGAACATGTCTTCTTCTGAACTAGTAAAAACTTTAAACTGTTAGTAATAGTTATGGAGGAAAGAGTTGGAATTCAGGTACTATAAAAACAGACGTATTTAAATACAGAGTGGCATTAGATTCGAGCATCCTGAACTGATTTTGAGGTTTGGTTGTGCAATTGCACAATGACACGTTTTATCTACTGGAACTGTACAAAGATAGCATAGTTCCCCATGAATGTAAAAGATTGTAAAATAGCTTTTTAAATGTTAATCTTTGCAAAGGAGATGTTCATTAGTTTTGAACTACATTGCTCTTAAAAATTCTATATATTTCTTTGCTTGCATACTTTATGTTTCACAGAATGAATATGAAGACAAAACAGGTACGGAAGCAAAGAATGGCATGACACAGGGAGATAAGCTTCATGCCTTAAAAAGTCGGAGAAGGCCATGCTCTACTACAACTGGAGCTCTGAGGTAATTAAATAATTCTGTGGTAATTTGCAATTTTAAATTCACTCTGCTATCAGATCTTTATAGCAAGTACACCATCTTGTTTAAGCAGTGGTACTAGTTGTGGCCACTTCTGTGGTGGAAATTTGTGTGTGTGTATTAGTTGCATATTTATTAATTTGTTCTTTTATTTTCTGTCTTCCTGTTCAGGATAACTAGTTACTTTTTAGCAGCAAAAGATAAAGCAGAAAACTATTTCAAGACCTTCATATTTATGTCTATGTAGCATTTTAAAACTTGTCCCTAACTAAAATACTTTTTAATTTCTGTAGTTTTTCTTTCTTGTTATATATCAATTTTGAACCTTTTAGGGTTTGTAAAAATTTAAAGTTTGGAATTAAACCTGCAGTTTCTTAATACTAAATGATCTCTGCTGTTTAAATTAAAATTAAGTTAGTTTCATACTTTAAAGCCTGTGTGAAATATGCAAGTATACTTGAAATAAATTAACTTTTGATTTTTAAAATGCCTTCTTTAATTTCTTTAGGCTACAAGAAATGAAACTGCACACCAGGTCCATATCTCAACCTTTCAGGTATTAACCTTAAGAAATTATCTATTTGATTATAGTTCTAAATGTATACCACTTTAGTCTTCTGTATTCAGTGTTTTGAGTTATGCGTATCACATCAATTGATTAGCAGTTTCTGACTTGTGAGAAATGGCAGGGAACAAACCTTTTTAAGCAGCTGCAAATCGCAAAAAAAAAAGAAAATAAAAAATAGTTAAGCAGAGGGATACAGCTGTACTTTGGGGATACCTTGAATTCTCCTTAATAACTAGTACATACAAGTAATTTCTTTATATTTTCTGATATCCATGCTGTTATGCGGTGAAAGTTGGATAGTTAACTCATAACCTGTTCATTTCTGTAAAAATAAATACTTGTCTCAAAAACCTAAATCAGATAAATGTTGCCTGTATATCACAAGTTGTGGTCTGTGTGGTTCTTGTAGATGGACTACAGACTATACAATCAATATTTTTATCAGATGTACCAGATGAATATTGAGTTTTAGTACCTTCTGATGGTTTAAAATTGGACACTGAACCTTTTACTACAAATAAGTACTTCCCAGAAGTTTCTGTGGATCCAAGAAAGCCAACGGTTTCTTTTCATTTTCATAAATGTTTTCCATTTACGACACATACTGAAATTGAAATAGTAGTAACAGTTCCCCTCTAAAGAAAATAAAACCTAGAATAAAAATTGGCTTAACTTTAAGAGCAATAGGAATAGTGGATTTAGCTCTTACGCTTTTGTAACTGCTGAACCCTTTACCATTACATTTAAAATACACTATGTAAGACATAGTATTTGTCATTATAAAGCACTAGTATGAAAAAGAACACATTACCTTCATTTTTATTGCAGCCTGGATTTTTCAGATAGATTACTCCAGGTGTCTAACTTCAGAGACTTCTGTTTACATGGTTTTCTTTTTTTTTTTTTTTGGTGTGGAAGTAAAGCTATATCTGCTGTCATTCCTTCTGTGCTTGTAGTTGGAGGCTTGTACCCAAGGTCTTAGGAGCTGATCATGACTATACCCCCTTGGTCTAACGATGGAGAGAATTTCATACTACTTCTAGGCTCTTCATTTACTAATTTTTATTAAACTTAAAAAGTATTCTTTGTCTTCGCAAATTTGACACAAAATATTGAGGTGAAAAGTAACCTATAACAATATAATATGGTATAGAAAGAGAAAAACACCTTAAGTGTTTCTCAAACCAGGCAAATAATTTGCTGTTGAGTTCTCAGTACATCTTGAGATTATCACTTTTGAAAATACCAGTCTATGTATTGAAAGACTGTGTGTTTGGGATGTGCATTTCAATTATAATAATCTTACTTCTCACTAAAACTCCACTACTTCTAGACTGAACACTTCAGGCAGCACCGAAGGATCCATGTCTCCACTGAAGGCCTCCAAAGTCATGACAGCTAATTTACCGTCTGCAGAAAGAATAAGCAGATTTACCACATCGTCAGCCTCTAACCTTAAAAGGTTTTTTTTTTTATTTCTCATTTTGGTACAAATGCTTACTATATATTACAGTGGTTTTCAACGCATATGCAGTCTATGAAGGACTTGCTGTTCTTGGGTGTGAGAAGGCTTAAATTAACATAAAAAATTATTTGCTGTTCCACTAGCCAAATTTTAGTTGCCTACAGATGGGGAGAAAAAACAAACAACCCTGCCCAAAACACACACACATAAAAACACTACTGGTGTGAGTTTGGGGAGGATTGTGTCAATTCAGAAACAGTATTATGTTGCTCAGGTTTTTTTATATTCATATGAATTTATAGGAGTTTTGCAACTATTCCTATAAATCTGTATATTATTAATCTCAGAAAAATACTGAGCAGTAATTGAAATGATTTTTATGAACCCTTGATTCATTGCTATTCAATTCCATTATTCCTACTGTACTAAGTAATTATGGATGTCAAATTAAATATATAATGATGCATTTTACATAACTTCTGGGCACAACTATTTACTTTTAAAACAACTAAATCAGATTTTTTGACACCTTATTTTTATTGTTAGTCTCAAATTTTATCATATTCCTTCCTGGTTATCTGAAGACTTTTATCGCACTATTACCTCTAAGAAACAGAGGAGGAGTTCCTAAACTTACATGCAGATAAAGTATGTTAGTGTAGGTCAGTCACCGCCTCAACCGTTTAACACAATCTTCTGCACGTGCGCGTGATTTGACAGAGGTGAAAGCTGACAGGGGCTTGAGTAAATGAAGTATGGGAACTCCTAGCACAGAATTCTGTTTTTAGTTAATTTCATCTTTAGAGAAGATAAAGTTGTGTGCACACATTAATTGTTTCAGAATGGTCCATATTATTCACCTAATGTCTTCTGAATTGTCTGTTATGTGTACGTACTACATACATTGTGTGTATTTTTTCCCCCCATGTGTTTTCCATTCAGCGTTTCCATAAACTCCAGACTAGCCAGTTCTCTAGGGAACCTGTATGATGCTTCAGATGATGATGAGACCAAAATGACATCATTGTCCTCTAGGACAGGTTTTTCTGTAAGCCAAATCTCCAGCCACTTGAATGGCAGCTTGCAGCTGCCTCGCAGAAATAACCATGAACTGAACAACAACTTGTACAACAGAAACAGCAGTAGTGGCAACAACCTGAGCAGCCAAACCAGTTTTCAGAGCGCCGTGACAGATGAGTACGCATCAACCCTCCTTTATGGGCCTTACAGCTCCTCAAGCACAATACCAGACTCGATCAATTCCTGTAAGTTCAGTCACAACTCTTTCAGGCTTCTGACCACTGCTGATCTTCCTCGCTTCTGTGAGCAAAGCTGTTTTTAAAAAAAAGTATTCTTAAACTAGCTTAATTTTCTGACTTCCTTTAATATTTTTCAACAGCATTTTGTCTGTTGCCTTTTTAAGTAACAATCCTTTCAGCTGCTTTTTTTTTCCTGCTTTTTTTTTCTAGCATCTAGATCATGGAGGTTTTATGAAAATAATTCAATACTAAACTTAAGCTAGTACCTTTCTTGATACCTTTTTTATGGACCTTCATCCCCTTTAGATTTTCATTGCAAATTATCCATAATATAGCTTATAAGTTTATTATGCATCTTAATCTTCATGCAAAAATGGATTTAAAGAAACTTTTGTACTGTATGTGTCATACTAAATGGAAGATAGTGCATTCTTAAGGATAGGATTCCTTTAAAAGATGAGTGTGCTTGACTTGAAACCGAAGTACTCTTCTAACATTAAATGAAAAATATTTTAAGGCTATATATTTCTGATGGTCTTACCATTTTAGTTTTCATACCTATAGAACTTTGCTGCCTTGGTTTTATTTTGTGTCCTTTTTCTGTGCGAAAGAGTATGTATAAAGAGGATACAGGAATAAATTAGTGCAACTTGAAAGTGATGCTGTACAAAATGTAGAGAAGAGAGACTAGAGAGACTTCACTTGTGGAATCAGAAATAAATTCAGCTAGAGAATGTCAATTTCAGGGAAAAAAATAAGTATTTAATAAACATCTTAGTATACCTGGTTTCCAAAGATTGGATATCATACTAATTATTAAAATTACTGCACTGTACTTAATGGAATATATTGCCTATAATTAATTGAACCCATCAGCCTCTGTTTATTACTGACACTTTATATCTTACATTTTTCAGGCACTGGAAATAAAATGAACTTCATATATAAGTAACTTGAGAATATTGCACCTTTCCTTTCTGTTTCCTTACCACAGACACGTTATTTGTTTCAGTACAACTACAGTTTTAGTGTTATACCTGCTACTGTTTTTCAGTGTGGCAAGTCCACTGCCTTAAAACAGGCAATACACATCCTGCATGCTATTAGGACATCAGCATAAAAGGTCATTCATGGGTTGTGTTGTGCTTTTTTTTTTTTCTTTTTCCTGAAGTAAGAGACCAATCTTCTCATTAACAGCTAGTATATTGGCACCACTTACAGGTCAGAAGCCACATGTTTATAGCTTGGGTGTGTGAGTTGCACTGTATGAGGACAGGCAACAATAGGAAATGCATTTTCACTGTTTCATTGTGGAATTTGTGGGGGACTGAAACCTAGCTAGTATGAAAAGTATTATGAAAACAAAGCTGCTGTGAGGGAACTTGTTACCTCAGATGTTTTGTTATTCCTTCAATGGATGCTTGCATTTGAAAAGTAGAGTAGTTGTGCTACGATGCATTTCTTATCCACTGCAACTTATCTGCAATAAGTGTTAATAATTCCATGATATTAGAATCACTGAGTGATCTGTATTGAGTTTCAATTTGAGTTTAAACAGTACTTTAAGCATTGGCAGTAACTTATGTCCTAGGGACTTCTTGAATACTACCTCATTCTTTTAAGTTACCTGAAGTTATCATACCTCTTTAAATTGGTACTATTTTCACCTGTTGCATAGGATCTTACGAGGCAAACTATACGTAACTCAGGTTTGTTTCAAGTTGGATGCAGAAACCACCCTAGTAACTTTTATAAGGAAACCAGTTCTAGAGGAACAGGACTGTTTTAGTTCAAGCTACTTACTAGTGTGGTTGAATTCTTCCAGACACAGAGATGAAAAGGGAAGATGAAAAGCTGTACAGCAAACTGAGGATGTTTGATTTGAGACACAGCCATGAGTATTTCACTTGTTCATAAATTCTGATGTTTCTAGAAAGTCAGCCTTTCCAGGTGATCTCAGTTTTGTATCCAATATGCTTACAGAAATTCAATTCTCAGAAGAGGATAACTGACAAAGGCTCCAGCTGTGTATAGTGGAACAAAAGTCAGTACACAGAGAAAGGTAGAGAGCAATCACTAATTTGAATATCTAAGTGGCAAAGCATCTCGTTTTTGGATTTCTTGCCTTCAATAACCTTCAATATTGTCACATTTAAATAAACTTGAGCAATAATTCCCAGGAAGGTCAATCAGTTCCTGTAACAGAATAGTACAATAAGAAGTACCTAGTAATAGTACAATAGAGAACCTTGTGTAACTGGTATGCTGCCAGAAGTAATTGTTTGTTTTTAGCCACATCTTAGTTACAGCTACATATTACACATTAATACATAAACCTACGTGGAGAGCCCTAAGGGATAGAGTTGCCTTACACCAGTAGCATGACTTGATCATGAAAAATAAGTTGCTGTTATTCATAATAGCTCTGGTTAGTTACAAGAGTACCAAGTAGTCATACAAACCATTCCAGGAACAGCAGACACTTCCTCAAACAGCTAAAGCTTTGGAGGTTGAATAAAAACACTACATCTTAAAAATCTGTAACTGTCATCTCCTTTGGAAAGGTAGTTGCTTTATGCTACAAGTGATCCTTAACAAGAAAAGTAAAGTTGGTGGGCTTGTCCCTTAAGCATAGGCTTAGAAATTAAGTAATGATTGAAGCCTTGTTCCTTATTCTGTCTAGCCTTTTACAGAAGGCTAGCACTATGTTGCTATTTAATCTGCTGTGAAATCAAGATTAAGCTGTAAACTTAAAGATAATGGAACTGAACAAATAATTCCTCAAACATGTAGGGAAAGGGGCTGGGTTTACAATATAAATTACTGTCTCGTGTCTTGTATTGGAGCTACGTGCTTCCTTCTTAGCTAAGAGTGAGAAATTCTTACAAAAAAAGGGAGGAAAATGAGGAACACTGATTCTTGCTTAGTTTAAGCAAGAGGAAAAGAGTAATTAACAAAGAGGCAAATGGTTATCCTGACACTGTAAAGCTATGAGCATCTTTGTCAGGAGGGAAATATTGTTCCCTTGCAACAAAACTAGTAAGTGACTTAAAATAACAATTTAAATGAAATCTGTTAGGCATAGAATGAAGTTTTAGGTAGAACAGGAAGTATTTCTACAGGAAAAAGTAGCTTTCTAGAATGTGCTGTTTTAAGAACATTGTTAGTCTTTTTCCTACCTAGTGACATAGTAATGGAAGGATGTAAGATAGAACCTTTCAGCAGTTCCTGGCTTAATACCATTTGTTGATAAGGATCAAAGATTATACACTCAAATATCTAATCTCTGCATACTTCTTTGTCTGGTAGTGAGTCTCAAATGTACTGGCTAACATGGATCCTACTTGATATTGATTTGTTTTGAAGAAATTTGACATTTTGAAGATATTGGTTTATTTTGATTGGTTTTATTTTGATAGTTGGTCCCACTACTGGAAGACAGTCACACTTAAAACCTTTTAATCTGAAACTTGATCTACCTCTTTATTATAGTCCTTTAGCTTATTTTCTCGTCATGAAGATATTTCACGCTATTTATCTCAGTTTTGTTGTCTTTTGTAGAACTTTTTGCATGTATGACACTGGCTCAAACATCCTTTTGGATAATGTTAGAAACCTTTACAGTTTTTTGAAAATTATTTTTCAGAAAGTAGCACTCTGACATCTTTCAGGTGCAGAAAGCTTCTACCTAGTGCCATCCTGGTTATATATTCAAAGCTTGCGTTAGCTTCTTTAACTGTAATGCACTGGGAGTTCTTGCTATCCAAGATACTGACGCTTACATTATAGTTTAATGTCCTGCATTCCTCGTTCTTTATTGTAGAACTCTGCATTTAGTTGAATAAAAGCATCATTTTTTTCCCCCTCTTCTTCCTGGAAACAATTTGTGAACCACAGAAGATTGTCTTATCTGGATGTCAGTGGTTAAAGTAATATTTTGCTTGTGCTGATATTCATCAGCAGTCATAAGCTCATGAGAAAAATATGGAGTAACATGAAGCCTTATCACCTGTTCTAGCAGAATTCAGTTAAAAATAGAATTTTGTTTAATGATTTCCACTTCACTGCTTTAGATGCTGAAATTACTTGAAGTCCTGTCAGCCAACCCTTAGCCTTGATGCAGTAAGTGCTCGTATTACATTGAACTTTTTTCTAATTGGCGCACATCAGATAATGTACCTGACAGAAGTCTATTACATATACCAATAGTTATGTTTATTCATTTAACTTCTCATCAAAGAACTCTTGAATGATATGAATTACATGTCTGTGCTTTTTACTAGCAGAATTCACTTAACCAGAGTTAGATGTCAAACTAACTATCTGTAGTTGTACAGGTATTCTTATTTTGGAAAATCACCTTATTCTTATTTCTCTTTATTAGTTTAACTATTAACACCAGTGGTGAAGGAGCATTTTAAGATGGTTAGAACAGTAAATGTTCATTTCTAATGAACATTCTTTAATATAATTAGTGAGAAAATGAGGAACCTTAAGTTTTAGGTGATGCAAGTACATAATTCTTTTTTCCAGTATGGAAGAGAATGTTATCTAATACTCATTTTCTTATTTTTATGAAAAAAAATAATACCCCTTTATTAATACTACTATTTCACATTCTAAAACAAAAATAGCTGTGACTATGTCTTCCTATGGTTGTCAGCCATATATTTTTCCCTGATGGCTTTTGTTCTTTCATCAGTGTAAGCTTGCTAAGTGTATCCATTTCCTTATCATGTTTTATGATGCCATATGCTGATGAACTAGATTAAAAAATTTGGTTTTCATAGAATGGACAACGTGCCATTCTGACCAAGTAGAATAAATATTTTATTTGCAAATTTAACAAGTAGTGTGCTTTGATTAAACATAATCTCACAATTATAATTTGCAGAAATAATCTTATAATGTAAAACCACATCTAAGCTACTACAATAAGATTCCTTCCTTGGATTTATAACTACTGTAAACACAAAATATCACTCCTTACGATGTATTTTTACCAGAGAGTATGTATCTGGGTAGTCTTAAGATGAGTCACCTTTTGCTTCTATAGCTGTCATGGAAACTGGCAAGATGGAAAAATTTCAAAAATTCAGAAGTGCAACAGTATTTTAAAATTTATGTGTATGAACTTGATACTTTTAGAAAAGGTTTTCTTAACTACAGCTTAACATCAGGAAATATAGTTTTTTGGAAAAAAAAAATAGTGTATTTTACTGGTCTGTAAATCTAGCAGACTCAAAGGGTCACTTGAAGTGTGTATGTAGTTCTTACAATATATCCTGATTTATTGTAGTGGATCTTGTTTTCATATTATTTCTTTCCTTCTACAACATTCTTGTTTCAACAATGTTTTGGGAGAGTTGATGGGCCATTCAGACTTAATTACTTGTGAGATCACTATTTTTAGGATAAAATCCTTATGTAATACTTGAATTTTGCTCTTTTCTGGAGAAGGTGCATGTTCAGTTCCTAACAGACAGACCTAAATGCTGTAGGGTTGTTGTCTTTAAAAAGTTAATTTGTAGCTGACTTAGTCCTGAAGTTAAATGCATGTGAGTATGGTTCTAGCACCTAGATGGATCCATGGTTTATTTTCTTTTCCAGGAGACTCTCAGTGTCTCCTACTGAACAAGAAAAAGATAATAATCTAAGCAGTTGCTTCAGCATGAATTTGATTAGAATGATATCGTTAATTGTAGGGAAGCGATCTAATTCTTCGTTTAAGTGTTGGATACTTGGGTATAAAATGCTGAGCTTGACACTGCAGGAGACGAGACCATTGTAGGATTACACATTGAGGATTTTACTTAACTAACTTTATTCTCTCTTTGTGGCAGTTCAGCAACTTCATTTTATTTTTCTTTTATATTTTTCCTCTATTTTAAGAAAGATTGTCTTAAATACCAGCCTGTGACTTGTAAAGGTGGATTGGGGCTTTCTGTTTTTAATAAAGCTTTCAGAATTAAAGGCTATACTTTGACTCACTGCAAAATAGGAGGTAGGAATGTGAATTCTAAAATAGAAAACTCCTCCATTTGAGATTAAAAAAAAAAAAGTTAGGTTTTGAAATATTACAGTCAATCTCTTTGGACAATGTAAAATATTAAGAATATTACTTAACTGTAAAATCCAGGAAGGAGGAAAAAAAAAATCAACATCCCAACTATATTCTGATTTTTCAAACTCAAAAATTAGTCCATATATTTTACAACAGCTATGTTATAACTGCCACCATGTTTTTAGTAATAGGAACTTTACAGGATGTGATTTTCAATTAATCTTACTCTAGAAAAATTGTTGTGAAGGGTGGAAACACTATAAGAAGCATGTTTCCTGATTATTTTAAAATAAATATTTAAATGAATAAAAAATACCTACCCATCTGTAATGAAAATTACAAAACATGCGATCTTGTTTTCAAGCAATCTGAATGCATGGATAAGAATATCCATGAATATCCATATATATAACAATTCAATGAATTTTAAATTTCAGAATACTTAGGCTTACTTAAATTGTAGTGTAAAATTTCTGGTTACTGTCTATTTTGTCTTACATGTGGTGCTCATGGCTCTCTGTCAACTAATGCCAGCTGTTCCTGAGAACAATGAATATGTACAATTTTTTCAGGTCATCCTTCTGCTGTCCAAGCTTAAAGTGATCTATTACTGTACATCACACAAGAGTGTATCACTAAATTTCCTGCATTTTTGGTTTTTGTTAATCAACTTTGCTTGGAATTCAATTCTGGAGGATCAGTTTAAAATCCTGCTTTAGCTGATGCAACCATAATTCTGATTTTTAAAATATTCTTCCAAAAATGAGATAGCTTTGAGGATCATTAAGAGAGCAGAAGTGGAAACCAGACAATAAGGCTGAGATTTTGTAGGACTCATGTTGTTCAATAGTTTTCTCTAATCCTATTGTATTGATGCAGTTTTAAATATAAGGTGTGGGGTGTGGATGAGCTGAGTTTGTTTACAACGTTTACAACTGCACCAGTACAATGAAGAACTCTCAGATAAAACATTCTGGTCATGACACCTTCCTCAACACATTTGTACAGGAGGTAATAAAATGTTCAGATTCCCTCTGAACTGATTACTTTATAAGAAAACTGTAATGGAACCAGAAATAAATACAGTAATTAGATTATGCCTCCGTCTTAAATATGTTATTTGCAGAGCCTTATGAACAATTTGCAGTAACAGTATAATTTTAATCTTTTTAGTAATTACACTCGAATTTATTAATTTGGAAAATTGTGATGCTGTAATATTTTCCTCAGTAATGAGCTACAACGTGAATATTTCCTATGTCATTACCTGAATCAACACCTTAAGCGTGCTCTGGTTTTTCACAGTAGCACTTTTATTCAGGATAAATGGAAATAATTATAATAGCTGTAATCATACATTTTCCCAACACATTTTTTTAACTGTGGTATTTTAAGCTGTTATGTTAGAGGGTTTGTAGTGCTTTCTCCAAGAATCTCTAGAATTTGGTTTGGAGAAATGTAGATACAGAGAAGTTGATGAATTTTAGTGTTTGGTTTTTGAGCTTCTGTGTCCAGTTTTTGAGTTGCTTGTATTTTGAGTTTTTCCTACGCAGAAATTCAGATCCACTTCCAACTCTTTTTCTTCTTCCTGTCCTTCCTGTCCTTCCTAAAGATGTGCCCTTCCTGCACATTTTTAAGTGCAAAATGCATATTACGTATAAATATATCCTCTTTAGTGAGTTTTAATCAGTTTTTCTTCTCTGCACAGTCCCTTCAGTCTGAATATGTTCAGTACTAAAGCCTTGCTGCTTTGGTGAAACCTGTTGAGATCTTACAATGGAAGTCCTTCATGAAGAATTTAAGGAAAGAAGCTGCTCATTCAGATGAGGATTCTTCAATACAAGATATGTTAAAACCTTAACACCAGGAGGCAACTTCTCAACAGCAGGAAACTTCTGGTTAATGACTACTACAGATGCACTGAAGTTGAATTTGTGGAAATTATTACTCCATGTTATTATATACAGATTTAAAATTTTTAATGTTGAAACTACTTGAATATATTTCTAATGAGTTTCATTATGACATTTATTAACTTGTGTACAGTCTTAAAATGTATTAAGAGAATATTTTATTAAGCTATATATATAAAATGATGTAAAAAATAGAATGTTTTAATTTAGTTTTTCACTTCTTTGCTACCAAAATGTGTATTTTAAAAATTTTTTATGTGTTTATCAGATATGAAAAAAATTTATGAACAAGAATTTTTTTCTCATTTTATGGGTCCATCATTATTGCTTAAAACCTAAGGTAATTACCTCTTTCACTAATTGGTCTTCTGTTAACTTAACTGAAGTCTAACTAGTGAGAGACTAGTTATTACGCTATCAACTGAAAGCACTTGAGTACATACTCTGCTTTCTACTCTCAGCTGCTGATCTTTCATAAGGAAAAATAAATTGAGATGCAACATGTAAGTTACATCCTCAATTGCAAAAAGAAGGTAATTTAGCTGATGATTCAATCATATTATTAATACTTTCTTTCAATTTGTCTTAAAGGAGTATTTTAACTTTTTCTTTTGAACGTAGAATGTTAAATTTTGCTCTGCCATACATACTGCAAAAATATAGACAACGCTGAAGTTGGTAAGAATATGTTTGTATGATGAATTTGGCAGTTCTGCATACTTGCATGTTGTTAACCTACATTTGGCAGTATGCATACAAGTTTCATTAGCAAAGCACATTGAAGATGTTGGAACTCTGTTGAATTTTCACTTACTGATTGGATGTTCCATAAATCTTTTGATTTGAAAACTACTGTTATAGGTAGCGTAACCTGCTGTATCACTGAATAGTTTTCTCATTAGCAAAGATAACCTTTAATATACGATCAGGTGCAATTAGGAATGAAAGTTTAAATGAAATGGTGTTCCAGTGAAGTATGAGACATCACGTTTAAAACTTAAGACTCCACAAGAAAAAAAAATAAAAAAATTAAGCAGCTGTGAAAACTTTATTTGCCATTGTAGTTCAGAAGACAAACATAGTACAGATCTGTTACCCATTATTTTTTCCAATATCTACAGAAATTTCAGAATAAAATGGGGTTGACTTAACAGTCTTTGTTCCCGAAGACCTGTGAATGACCTGCATTTGCTCTGCAAATGAAGTTAAGTGCCACAGATTTTTTTGAAAAGTTTTAGATTGCAAATTGGTACATAAAGTTATACTGAAAGTGTTAATAAGCAATACCGAGAGCAGCTATATGAATCACTGAATAAAAGTTACATGCAATACTGTACCTTTCCACAATTGTGTATATGGAACATATACACACACAAAGTAGCATATGTGTGTGCATATATGTATATGAATTATAGATTAATGGTAAGGTAATTCTACCTCTCAAGGAAAAAAAGTTGTGCTTTGTTATAAATAGTTTTCCTTAATAAAATGTTTAATTTTGGAATGTAGATATATATATTATACAGCTAATTGATAATAAAACGTATATATCAGCCAGCTTTCTTGTTTTTGTCTTTTCTTACTCTTTATCTAACATCGTAACAGCAAAATCACCTTCTTCTAAAACATATCACTTACAAGATAACAATGCAAAAGGAATGAGTGTGATGGGTATCTTTTATCTCTAATCTTTCTAGCTGATATTCCTATATTTACTTTGCATAACAGTCTCAAGTATTTAATCAACGTGACAATATTATTCTCTGGATTACATTTCTAAATACCATAATTTACAATGCCTCTTAATTGAGGAAACATTGCTGTCCAGAAGGATCCTTGTTAAAGGTGTAATACACCTTATCTTTTTTGCATGTGCAACAGTTTCATGTAGCCTCACTAATAATAGTAGGGTCTTTGTCCATAAGAAAACAAACAGCCATGTTTTCATTTTGCTTTTTCTCCTTCCTTTAGTTAAAAATTAGTCACAAATGGTTCTAACGTAGTTTAATTCTGCTGATGATTTTCAGCAAATTTGTTGTGTTGCATGATAACTGATCCATGGTGCTTAATATTCCTGTCAGTAAGTCAGTACTGCAATAGGTGATGGTAACTGTTGCACAGCCTCTCTGAAGGACTGGCAAAATCAGGAATAGAACAGCTGCTTTAGCAGCTGCCCAAGTTCTAGCAAATAATAAAATAATCTTCCAATAACACAATAAAGGGTTCCTGTTACTGCACTGGATATTGGATACAACAATAGATATTGGTTTGGATGCATATAGTAACTACGAAGGAAGAACAGCTAATTAAAAAGTGTCTAGGACATTGAAAGCGATTCCTCCCTTTCCCTTTTTTCTATACTTCCCTCTTACTGATGAATTATACTAAAGACAGTAAATTCCAGCTAATGGATAATGTTTTGTGTTCTTAACAATTTGTGATAAACATAGGCAGTATTCCATAACAATCAACTTATTAAAAAATAAAAAATAAGTTTGGGGACAGTAGAATGTTAGGAAGTCTTTAGAACCTTTTAGCTTTTCAGAAATACCCTGAATTTTTATATCCTGTTCAGTTAACCTTGAACTTCACCACTTCCATTTATTCATATATAAATGCATCTCCTCCTTCTGGGAGAAAAAACTGTAGCGCATGAGATCTTGAAAAGGAGGTTGGATAAACACGGAAAGATGGATTAAATAAATCTAGAGGTCTCTACTGGGCCTACAATTCTGTGGATAATGCCTTATGGAACCATTAATCTCTTGAAGGTATGCTTTATGAAGCTTTTCGGTTAGGGAGATATTTCTTGTTACAGATTTAAAGAATATTTTTCAATTACAGTACTGCAGAAAGAGGAGGATTTTAGTTTCTATAATAACTGTTCTCTACTGACAGCTAAACAATGAAAGGCCTCAAAAGGTTTGACACATGATTAGATCTACACTGTAAAGTGCAGCAGGCAAAAAAATATGGTAATTAAGGGCCTGATCAAGTAAATTGCTCAGGTATGTCTTTAACCTTAAGCACATGAGCAATCTAGTTAATTAAAAAAGAACAGATACTCATAGTTGTAATGAATACATATTTGGATCAACAGTCCTGTCAATTACAAACATGAGACTTTCTGCCAAATAAAAGATGTGCTATGCTGCAAATTAATCCACTGATCTACACAGGTTAACTTCATTATCTTAAAGAATTTATGATTACCTGCTAACATACTATTTTGCTGTTGTTATTTATCAGCATCGTGAGTTTGACAATATCTAAAATACCTTACGAAGATATCTTTAGTCAATACCCAGATAATACCTAACCAGCAGAGAAAGTTTACTTATCTAGCTCATATATAATCCATGTGTAAAAGCAGCTTCTCTCTTAATCAGCATTCCTTTTCTGGAATGCTTTTAAGAAGAAATTTTTTTAAGAAGTCATTTTTCTCGATTTCTTATTAAATCTTTTAAATGGTAAGTAGAGTTAACATTTGGTCCCTGTTTGAGTAAAGCATTGTAGAGTACCCGGGAGAATCCCAGTGCCAACTCTTGTCCATCCTGTGACTGTTCCACCCTGCTCTTCAACCAACTCTTACTCTGCGTGAGAAGCTTTCATTCCGTTTTGAAAGAACTTGCTTTTTGAATTGAATTTGTTGTGAGACTGCTTCAAAGACTATACCGATTTCACCTGTGTACTTAGTGACACAAACATTTACCTCCAGCAGGTTAGTGATGCAAAACGTCCTGTTAAGAGAAAACAAGCTGAGTCTTTTATGAAGAAATGTAGCGTATGTAGGTTGAGGACCGGTTTCCTCAAATAAGAAATGCTGTCTTAGCAGGGATCTGTGTACCTATCACATTGGGGAGATTTAATTTGCAAACGTTATTACAGACCAGTTCTGAAATTGTTTAAAGGAACAGTACATTTTTGCTTTACAAAAATAAGATCAGAAAAATCAGGTTCAGTATCTAGCTGAGGAGTTTCTACAGCAAATGGGTTGTATTTTAGTCATAAGTGACTGATACTAGTTTGAAAGCTTGCTGAAAATTAAAGTTGCGTAAATGGGCTAGAACCAGGAAACTGGCAAAGCAAAGAGAAAAGAGTCAGACTGTGTAGTTGCAGTATTTCTGGAGCATGATAGATTTTTTTTTTCCTTCTTGATTTAACAAGTTGAAAATCTGCTGAATAATTCATGAAGAGTGGAAGGGCTGAATCTTCCTGGAATGATATACAGTGTACGTACTGTGGCACAGGAGAAACTGCAAAGCTTTGTATCAGTTGCTGCCGTTCCTGCTGCCGATTGCAAGGTGCTGCTGCTTTTGGCATTTTCACAGCTACCGAATCCTCAGTCATGCTCCCGTCTGCTAACAGCTATCTGCACGCTATGGACCCACCTTCGCTAGCTAGTCTCTGGGATTCCCTGTTACCTCCCAACCCCGGACGCTGCTGTTCTGCAGATCGCTACTGCTAACCGCGTCTGCTGGACTTGCAGCTTCTATGACTGAAATCTGCCTTAGAGTCCCTCAGCTGCACATCCTCTCTCGTGTTTGGCGGGGGGCTTCTGCAGCAGGCTCTTCGGACCCGGCTGAGGATGGGATTTACAGGGAGAAGCCAAAACTGAGCTGCACTCAGCGAGATGCCCAACGCCTCTTCCTGGAGTGCCAGCTCGCCGCTGCTGCTGCTCTGGGAGGACTCCTCCGGGCCCCGCATCTTCCTGTCGCTGCTCTACGCGGCCCTCGCTATCTCAGGGACCTTATCCAACGTGATGGTCATCTACCTGGTGTTCTCCTTCAAGAAGCTGCAGACCACCAGCAACGCCTTCATCGTCAACGGCTGCGCGGCCGACCTCAGCGTGTGCGCCCTGTGGATGCCCCAGGAGGCCGTGCTGGGGCTGCTGCCCCCCAACTCCTCTTCCCTGCGCTCGGCCGAGTACCGCCTGCTCCGCGGGGGGCTCCTGGGCCTCGGCCTCACCGTCTCGCTGGCCTCCCACCTGCTGGTGGCCTTCAACAGGTACGTGCTCATCACCAAGCTGCCCAGCGTCTACCAGGCCCTCTACCAGCGCCGGCACACGGGCTGCATGATCGGGCTCTCCTGGGCCCTGGCCCTGCTGCTGCTGCCGCTGCTGCCCGGCCTCTGGACGCCGGGCTCGGCCCCGCAGCCGCCCCCCCGGCAGCCGGCCGGCGGCTCCCGCTACACCGCGCTGCTGCTGGCGCTGGCCGTGCTGGGCCAGACGGCGCTGCTGCTGCACTGCTACCTCGGCATCGTGCGCCGGGTGCGGGGCAGCGCCAAGCGGGTCAGCGTCCTCAACTTCCACCTCCTGCACCAGCTGCCCTTCCCCGCCGCCCCGCCGCCGCCCCGCCGCGCCCAGCGCCGCCTCAGCAGCGTCTCGGTGCTGCTGCTCTGCTGCGTCTTCCTGCTGGGCACCCAGCCGCTGGTCTGGGTCAGCCTGCTCGCCTTCTTCCTGCGCCCGGCGCCGGCGGCGCTGCAGGCGGCCAGCTGGCTGCTGCTCTGCTCGCTCTCGGCGCTCAACCCGCTGCTCTACACGTGGCGCAGCGAGGAGTTCCGACGGGCGGCGCGCTCCGTCCTGCCCCGCGCCGAGGGCTCGGCCGCCCCGCGACACCCCGCGGCCGCCGCCGCCGGCCCCGCCACCGCCGCCCCGCCCTGCCCGCAGCTGCCGCGGCGCCGGGGCACGGTGTGCGGAGCCCCCGCCGCGCCGCGCTGAGCGCCCCGGGGCCCCGCGGAGCTCGGCGAGGGCAGCCCCGGCGCCTCCGCGCCCCGCCGGCCCCGCTCGCCGCCTGCTGCCCGCCTCACGCCCCTCAGCCCCCTGAACGCGGCAGCGGGCCCGAGCCGCCCCCGAGCTCCTCCAACGGCTTCAGCGTCTGGCCGGGACTCGCTGTAAGCTTGTTTTTCTTGCTTTTATGAAATCGGTGTGATTCTCCGAGCGTTTGAAATAAGCACTTTGAGCTCCCCGAACACAAGGGCCATTTGTGGAGAGCTGGCAAATGTCTCGTGCCCCTCCCCAGAACCCCTCAGGAACCGTTTCCTTGCCCCCCAGCTCTGCCGTCTCAGGGCTCCATGTGGGACCCTCGTTGACCTCCTCTTTGGCAAACTTCAAGATGATGCTATCTGTGGAAATTGTTAAAAACAGACACCTTTTTAGTAATCTGGTTTGGATTTTTTTTTAAAAAAGCTCTTTATATAAGGCCTGTTTTGACAAGGGCCTCATGCCTGTGGTAATGCACTCAGTAAAATATAACGCAATATGGAGACTAGTGCTGTCCTCCTGGCCTTATCATCTGTTCGGTTACCAATTTGTTGTGTTTCTATTAGATACGTTATTGTTGCAGCGGGATTTCACAGCTTCTGCTAAATATAAAATGACAGATTTTCTGTGGCGTTTGGAAAGGCGACAGCTCCTCCCACGGAGGGTGGCGAGGGAAATGGGGCTGGCGGGGAGTGCTGCAGCCGCCTTCCTCTCAGGAACGCACCCGAAACACCGCTGGTTCCCTCTCCTGTGCCTGACCACCTCCTGCCCCTTTTCCAAGCTGATGCTGTTCTCATGGTGATGGTGCTTGGTTTGCCTTCTGGCACACAAGGCTGGAAGGGGGAATTCTTTTCTGAATCTGTGGCCGCTGCTCATTAAAACAAGCAGGGCAGAAACACCTCCGTTGTGCTGTCTTGAGAGGGTGAATGGACACGGGGAGCAAAGGAGAGTTTCTGCATTTGATGACAAGTATTCATGTGAGCTTGGCAGTTCTTAGGAGAATATTTGGATGCTAAGACAGTACAGAGGAAATGAGCACAATGCTATCACATCAAAGGCTACTTGGCCATATTTACAGTTCTCCACACTTCACTCACCTTGCGTGCTGTGGCTAAAGTTTCAACAGAAGTTTCTTTTAAAGGAATAATTTCATTTTTTCCTGACTCTTAGACCCAATTCAATATCTATGATACACAGATCTATATATAAATCCCCCTACCAATCTTCTATTTTTCAAAATAAATAAAAAAAGTTGCCATCATCACAGAAAAGATTCTTCTTGAGGATGGGATTTGACAAAGCCAATGAGCTACGGCCTCAAAAGGAGAAAAAATAAAATGTCTTGATGTCCTGATAATGTATCCATATCTTGAAAACAGCTGTAGTCATTTACAAGGACCTATAGGAAAGTAAGAGGAGTTTCCTAGGATCTGAGGCTGACGGAGTTTCCAACTCCATGTCAGAGACAGCATGCCACATGTGTGACAGCACTGGAAGGGTCGGGAGGGCTAACAAGGAATCATGGTCATAGAAAGTTTGCAAGGTTTATTTTATCCACTGTGTGCATCTGTCTTGGAAAGTACTGTCTTCTTGTAATCTCACATCGTAATCAAAGTGACTGTACTTTTGCTAGCTTTGCGCAGCAAATGGAGACAAAGGAGAGCTGTTCCAACCACGTCTACACCAATTCTGGAACATACTCTGAATCACTGCCGAAACAAAGCTAAACCAAGGGCCTCCCAGGGCTAAGACGCTGTTCTACTATGAGGTAATCCTTGGGCTGGAACCCACAAAAGGATGAGTGCCACCACTTCCCACCATAGCTGCAGACACTTGGCAAAGCTCAGTACTGGGCCCATAAGCAAAGGAACAAACATTAAAGTAATCAGCCAGACAACATCCCCCCTGATTTTGACTATGGAACACGGCAGTCTGGAATTCAAGCAATAACCTGTTTCAGAAATCAATATCCAAATGTCAGAAAATGAACTTCTGGGTTTCTCCCATATCAAATAGCATGCAAGTTAAATCTGAAATGCCTGTATTTTATATAGACAATGTTTTAAATGCAAGTATGTATAAAAAATGCTATAGTGCAAAACGTCATTCGGCTATCCTCATGCTATGCATTAATTCCAGAGAACAGCTGGAAATCCCTTGGAAAGTTTGATGTAATTACATCTGACTGTAAATCTTTGACTGTTTTAATACACTCAGGTGACATAAATAGCATTACGCAGAAAATAATTTTAATTTTAAATTTCTCTAATTAAAAAAAAATATTCTAATTTAAATTTTAAAGAATTTAAGAATTTAAAATAAAAATGATGTTAATTAAATTAAATCTTTAAATTAAGAATTTTAATTTTAATTTAATTTAAAAATTTTAAACTTACTGCTCAGAAAAGTCCTGTATGCCTTGTTCTGCAGCGATATTCTTTGTATTTCCACATTATAAATACTGTGTGGTAAATCACAACGGAAGCACAGCTTAACTCAACTTTTCCTGCCTCTGTGTTACTGCTTCTTATATGAGAAAATTGATCGGTCTCAGTTTTTAGCATTTCTGCTTTTCTTTTTACAGCCAATACATATGTGTCCCCTGCTAGCTTACTGGTGACTTTTCTTCAATATGAATTTGTTATGTTCACACTACTAATTGACAGGTGCAAAGCATGCGTTGCCAGTTGTCCATTAAAATGTGCAGGTGCAAGGCATATTTGTACTTTTAAATATTGTTCTTTAAAATGTTTCAAACAATCTTTCAAAAGATGTAAATGAAGATGGCAATGAAGCGAAGTTGTCTTTTGATCTGGCATGGTGCCAAACAAGTTTAGCATGTCCTCGAGCTTCCCCTCCTGGAATGACCGGTCAGCTTCATGAATATTGAACGATGGGTGTGATTTCACCAAAGTGTTGAATTTCTTATACGGCAGTGCAAATGCATCACGTTATTCATGTGCAGCAGGTGCCTATTCCTTTGCTATTTCCTCAGGGCTTCTGGAAATGAGCAGCTAGCAGTCAGTAACAAGCTGGATGAATTGTGGTCAGTTGTATTGGTCTGGCTTGAAACAGCCATTTGGTATTACAACCAAAGTAAATTTGCCTGTAATTTAGCCACTCAGTTTGTGATTTGCCTATGCAGAAATACAGCCTTTCCCTGCGGGACCAGCTCTTTGCAGGTAAAATTGTCATGCTTCAGAACTACACCCCAAGGCAGGTGTTAACAAATACAGCTATTTGTGAAAAAGCTTGCAGGGGCTGTTTGTGAAGTCACAGTTTGGACCAAATCATTTGAAGTTATCTGTAATTTAAGGTAGTTGTAAAAAGCCTTGAGCTCTTTTGTGTAATCAGGTAGCTCCAATAATACGGACCTCCACCAAAACTGGACAATTGTTGCCCTAGACAAAGGTGCCATGAACAAAGTAAGGCTGGGAAAATGTGACAAGAGGAGATAAAGATGGCAGGGAGAGGGCACTAACAGTGTGATCCTGAGAAACAGTACAGAGAAAAAGGTCAAAAAGCCAAAAGAGGCCTGGGATTATGATGAAATAAACCCTATAAAATTGTTTGATTCCTTATACGGGTGAGAAAACAGAATTCTATACTTTTCTTAATAAGTAAGACTGCACAGTTGCATTCTCAATTTCTTCTTTTAACAAACACACCAGCAGATTTTCATTAATCTCTAGCATCAAAAAAGACTACCAGTATGAATTGCATCAGAGTTCTTATGGAGACTACATTCATCAGCACTACTGGACTTACAAGCAGGAATAAGAGCTTACCTCTGGATTCAGTCAGCCATAAGCACACTGTGAACCTTTTTTTCTAACTACCAAATTGATGCTATTTTTAAAAAAACCCACATACAGATTATTTTCAAATGAAGACGTTTAAGTGTAGCATTTCATTAGAGAAAAAGTGACAACATATACTTTAGCTTTCCATTTCATCTTAAATCACATAACTAGATTATTGCAGTATTCTTTAAATTCAGAAGTCCCTTTCCCAAACGGCAGCGAAAATAGCTTTTCTCGTGACTGTTTAACTTCTAAGAAAGCTACCTTTTTTGCTCTTTTATGTCAATCCTTCCCATGCACTGTCATCATTTTACCAGGGTAATAGTCTCCTTTCTCGCTTTTTCTTTTTCTCCTTTTCTCTCTTTCTCTCCTTTTTCACTATTTTCTGTAATTTCCCTCACTAAGGGCAGAGCACTTGATCCTGCTGATCAAGGAATGACTTGAGCAGTGTAAGTCTGGGGAGACAAATGTAAACTAAAACTAAAAAAACTGAGGGAGAAGTCCCACATGCTTAAGTTTCTACTGAAGGCTAAGAAGTAGTTGAAGGTGTGCCTTTTTGCTGTGTAGAGTAGTGGATAATGCTGTCTGTATTACAGATATTCACATTTGATTAAGGCTATGTAAAAAAAAAAAAAAAAAAACAAAAAAAAAAAAAAAACCTAAAGTGATACAGAAAAAAAAGTTACAAATAGTTTGAAGGTTGGAGAAAAACATTCATTGTTAACATGCATTGCGATTAACTCATTACAGCTGAGCTTCTGGGAAGCATTCTGAGGAAGAGCAAACTACCTGTTGGAGGGGGAGCTCGAGCCCCACAGGGGAGCTGTATGGCATCATAGGCTTCAGCATGCTGAACTGTTGCCTCTGTGGGACAAAGGGTTAAAATAACAAATAACAAAACTGTGCCTCGCCAACATTTTACAGTATTCTTTAAACACCTTTTTTTCTCTACTTTTGTGGGATCAACCTCTGCTTCAAAAGATTTCCTCCTTCTTTAGAAGTGACAGCAGCTGAAACCCATATTTATTATCAATTAAAAAAGAAACACAAAAAAAGAAAGAATAATTATTATTCTCACTAACTAGCTCCTATAGTTCAAAGACCAAGGTACAAAGAACAAAGACAGAGCTGCTGTTAGTGAAAAGCTTCGCTTAGACCAAAGATGCCTTGTGCTCGGGAGCAGTCCGACAAAGTGAAGCAGCTGCTGGTCGTAGAGCCATACTGCAGGAGGCTGTTGCATTTGCCATTTTCAGAGTGGACATGCTGGCGCTGTTAGGGAAAGGCCAAATTTCAATTACTGCAGCAGGATTTGGCCTCTCTGATCCATTCCCTTTCTTCCCAAGGGATCAGAGAGCAGCTGAGTGAGGGAAGTTAAGTGTAGTAGTCCTGAGGGAGACACAGAAAGAACTACTATGCCTGGAAGAAATCTCTTCAGTATCTTAATTTTTTATTCAGAGCTTTATGAAGTTAACATCTCAGATGGAAATTTCTTAATAGCTGTCTTCAGGCTGCCTGGAGTCTTCACCTGTCCTGTGACATTCTCCGTGCAGAATTAAAAATGCAGATATGCATCAGGCAAGATCTTCAGCCATCCTGATCATTTCTGAAGCTGATGATGTGATGGAGGTGCAGTGTCAGTCTGAAGGCAACAAAGTGAGCATTAGCTACAGAAGAAAACTATTTTTAAATGTAAGAATTTGAGAGACAAATCTGGTGAATCAAGCAATAGCCAGAGTTTCGAAGAGCATTGCAGACTTTGTTTCCTGTTTATTCCACTGAGTGAGATGTCCTCTTTGTTTTCTTCTGTCCCCTTTGTCTGCCTTACCTCAGGGTACCTCAGTGCTGGAACAGCTGCTTTCCTCTCACCCTCGAGCCTCTGGCACTGACTTTTATATCATTTCATAAACATCGTTTCTGTGATTCCTTATAAACTTCATATTTTTCATTCCAAGACCTAGTGAAATGGCTGTATTGTAGCTGTGGAGACAGGAGCAGCAGGGTTTGAGCAGAGGTAATGTCAAGAAATACTGTTAAGATATTACACATTTACCTTAAAGCTATTACTCCTTTGTTTTCTGTTGCATTTCATCCCTTGCTATCTATGCATGTTGGGATAGCTTCACTGCAGGAGATGCCTTTTCCATAAACATGTCTCATTTAGTTAATCATTTTTTATAAAGGTAGTAGTAAAATCTTGCAGAATTTGGAATTTGCAGCCGCATTAGCTCTTCCAGTGAGCATAACTGTGCCTGTTTCATTCAATAGAACGTCTTCTTTTACTGTAGTTTTTTTTTTTTTTTTTTTTTCCCAGTTGTGGCATTATTTCTCTCAGGCTGATTAAATCAGGGAGTTGGTAGACTGCAAACTGGGAAAACAAAAGCACAGCCTCACTTCTGCTTTTTTGACTTCAAGGCAAAGGCACTTTTCGTAAGTCTTGCAGTGACAATCAGCTTTTTTGTGTGTGTGTGGTATTAAAACAAGACAGTAGAACTACCTATCATGTTAAAATAAAAGAGACAAAGTGGATCACAAAAAATATTCATTGTATATGATGAGTAAATGTGAACTCTCTGGATTCTGCAGTAGATACCTTGCTTGGCTTTTTGCTGTTTATTGTAACTGTTATGTACATACTAACAAGATTAGGCAATTCACACTCAAATATAACAAGTGATGGATCTGAGCTGAATTAAAGGCATGATTTTTTTTCTATCTCATGCATCATTAAATATTGCTATTGTACTGTCTACTGATGATCTATATTATACCTGTCACCTGATAGCAACCACGGTCGTTATGGTAATGTCAAGATTTTGATTATAGTCCCTTCTGCGATGTAGGCATCCTATGCTTAAAAATGTGTTGTTGAGATGGTAGTGTCCCATTCTTGGTCTTGACCCAAACACGAATACATTCTGAGGTTTTTGATGGAGAGGTAATTTATTTCTGAGCTACTGTCATTCATTCAAGGACTATTCTATACTTATATGTATATATGTGTGCGTGTATAATAAAAAAAAAAAATATATATATATATATATAGCCTTTTGAACTACCTTTTTTCTTAATTTGATATGAACAAAATTTGTAGGAACTTCTTATCCCTTGCCAAGTAACCCTTTGGCTGAGTTTGGGAATTTAAGACTATCAAAGACCACAGCTGTTACTCAGAGATCAGCGAAACCACTAAAATGCTTGCTGGACAGCATGTGCCCGTGTGTCAGATAAGGCCATACCGATTTGCGACACAGTGCAGGTAGCGCCCCGTGTTCAGAGCGCGGCTCCTGGGGCACAGCCCAAAACCTCGGATGCCCAGAGGCTGATCAGGGAACCAGAGCCAGGAGGGCGCTGAGACCCGCGCTGCCTGGGCTGTGCTCAGCAGCCGGTGCAGGTAGAGGAAGACTGGCCAGGGAATAAAAGACATCATTCCACGGGGTGGTCGGGTTTCTGTGGAATTTAAGGGCAGAATTCTGAGAATCGGTTTTAGGTCATTATCCGTTATCTTCAGATTTTCTTACCATTGTTGGTCTATTTCCTTCTAGATTAGGGAGACAGTTGTTTATTTAATTCTAAGGAAAAAAGTCTCTCATTCATATACAAATGCGTAAACCAGTTATCTTCCCAAATGGGAATGCATTCCGAGGAATCTTTGTGAATGTAATTCTGTCAGCAAAGGGAAGATAAAGCAGCAGTTAAAAACAAAAGCACATTGCATGTAAACCTAAGGGTCTTGTAACTGTTACCTCATTTTCTAATATCTATAACTGTAAAAATTATGTTAAGGTAATGAATAAAATAGCTGATTATACATTAATTTTATCTGTAATTTGAAAATTATTATGATCACCACACTCAGGATTGAATGGCACAAACAGCTTTTCATTTCTGATTGAGGTCTCTGTAGAAATGCTGCAGTGTTGTTTTGCTTTCTGTCCTCATCACTTACACAGTGCTGTGTTGAAATACTACATTTTATTGATTTCAAAACAAAAAACGCTGGTAACTTGTTGTAATACATTTTTGGTAATATTTTTACACAGTGTTTGGTTTCGAGCACAACTGTACATTTTCTGTGCCAGCCCTCCCCAGGCTAACATACATCCCATTATGTGAATGCTTTTGTTCAGACAGTCTACGAGCAAACTCTTGCCAAGGATGTCCGTCACCATGCCCAGTGATGGCAGGGTTGTCTTCAGATATTCAGCAAGGGTTTCTGATGCTAGTGGGTGCTGTCAGCAGTGAGGGCGGCTGGCTGTGTGCAGCAGAACAAGGCCAGCCAGCCAGTGTGCAGGAGGGAAGTGACCGCTTTGTTCTCCCTCACAGAAGCCAGTTGCAAAGGATCACAACTCTGCATCCCTGTAGAAAGTGCTCAGTGATGTGACTACACACCGAGTAGCACATTTATCCTCATATCTCCCCAGACTTCCAGTGAAGTTATGTGAAAAGGAAGATAGGGCAGTGGAATCTCAGCTTGTCCATTATTTAAGGCTTAAAGCCTTAGTTCACCCTGACCGTTTAAGAAGTTTGTTTGATGAGTAGAATTTAATGGAGAATCTTTATCTTGCCATTGAGCGTGAAGTAAGATTCGGAAGACTTGGCTGTTTCACTGCCCACTGCTGCTGGGCATTGGCAGCACAAGTCCGTGTAATGATCCAGTGTGGATGAATTGAACCATGTGGGAGACACAGCAGGAGATATACCTCCTAGTAGGAGGCACAGCAGTGAATTAGGAAGAAGGATCAAGAGCAAGGGTGGATCTTGTGTATTCCCAGCTCACCCCAAGCTGCTGAGGGCATGAGCCAGACCTGGAGACTTCATCTGCTGTTCTGCTGTGTCCTTTGGTAAGGGGACTGGGTTTGTTGCTGTCTGCTTGTGTATAGGGATGTCCCACTCACATTGCCAAGGCAAAGGCAACCCAGGCAGCTTTCAGTGCATCTCAGATTCCAGATATTCATCTGGAAAATGGGAAATCCATTACTTGAAAAGGGTTCCTATTTCACACAGCTTGTTACGAGTTGTGGTGGATCATTTCATGTCTGCTCGGTAATTCTTATAAAAGAGCCTTTGTTACTAAGGAAAGAGGCACAAAAAAACCCTCATATGAATTAAAAGTGTCTTTGTCCATTTATTTTTTTCCTTTCTTGACACATCAGGGGATCTTCCAAATCTTTTCAAGTATTGCCTCTTTGGGAGCAGGGATTGTTTTAGAACTGCCTTCAGCAATGTGAGAGGATTTAGCCATGCTGCCCTTGATGTCCTGTGAAGTTTGTATTAGTATTGGTGTGGTGCCAGAGCTTCAGCTGAGGCACAGGTAGGTTGCCTAGAGCATTGGGATGGATCTTGATTTTCCACTTTGGAGGGAAGGTGTTAGTGTGTTCCAAAGGAAAATCCAGATCTTAGTCTCCCAGTTTTAAATGGGTGATCAGAGAGGAGTTCCTTGAGAGGCCGGTAATTTTGTCCTCTTATTCAGTTATACGTCTAGAGAAATAGTCGAGGGTATCGACAGTTACATTAACAATGGCTCCCTGGGACTCTTCCTTTTGTTACAGCTGTGGATAGAGTCCAGCAGAGAATTACTGAGGTCAGGAGAAGCTAGATGGCACTATGGTCCAAAGAGATCTTGTGCTGCTGCAGCTGAACAGGATGAAGCTGTGCAAGTCATCTGGTCTACAACACCTCTGGATTTTCACAGATACCAGCAAAAACAGGGTCAGAATCCCTGAAATGGAATGAGAGAGGGAACAGGGTTTCCACTGATGCAGCTTTTGTTTTTTAACACTGACAGCAAATTGAATAGTTTAGGAAACAGGTTTATATTTAAGTGTATGGACAAGAAAGAGAAAATTGCAGATGTAAAATGGCTTTAAGATTATCTGCACAGATAAAACTGAGAAATAGGTAGTGCATCATTGACATAACATTACTTATGCATATTTGTTTATTTTAAATGTACATTCAGATTCTTCTGCTCAAATATGTTAGTAAATGCGGAAGTAGATAAGTTATGCACCACATCTGTGCGGTTACAGGAAACAAACATCTTTATGTGGTCCAGAAAACTGGAGGGGAAAAATTCCTCCCTGATCCACTTATAAATGTCATTGCTCATTTTTTGAAGGATGGAGCACTGCCAAATATGAATGTTGTACAAGTAAATGTCTGAGCTAGTTAGTGTAAGACACTCATAAAGTTATCTTTATCTGCACATATTTTATTTTTCATATGTTGATTGTCTTAATTTTAAAAATTTTTAAAAATGTTAGTTTTTAATTTCTAGAACAAAATGATTTTTTATTAATTTATAGTCATGTTTAGTTAGCTAATACGTGTAATTCATCCATTGGTATTTTTATTAGAAGTTAAAGTCAGACAAGATATATTAATATGATTCTTAATAAAATTGTAAGGCCAAGCAAAGCTTGTATTTCACCTCTAATTGGTATTTAAGAATACAAAGAGGCAATATAAGCTTAGGTATTCCTTATAACAACGTCAAAGTTATTAAAAAAGCAAAACTCATAAACAAAAATAGCCCTAAGCTGTGGAAATCTGGGGAGGTCTTATTTAATACTGAGTTTAAAGAAAATCTGAGCATTTGAAAGTAAATAACATCCAGGCAGCCCAATAACTTTGTGTCTAGGGTGAAGCCAGCCTCCAGGCTTGTTCATTAGTGCTTTTGCTCACGCCGTGAGGGGGCCAGCACTGAGCCAGTGCTATGTTTGGACTAAGTTCCTCTGCTACAGCCATGGGCCTGTCACAAAACACAGGCACTAAATGACTGGGCATGTAGGAATTTGTCAAGGCAGAAGGTAGCCATGAGATACCATACTGTGCCTTCAGGGTTCAGTACACCCGTAGTGTGACAGTAACAGGCATGGATAGTGACATTAATTTGGAAACGCCAGAAAAGCTTTGAGGTTAGTCACTGGTTGGGAGGACTCTGAGGAACTTCAGGGGAACCTGCAGAAAGGACTAGCAAGTTCAAATGAAAAGCTTAATATAATTACAGAATTTTAATCCGTACACAATCACAAACCTGTATTACAAATACGGGCAGTGACTAGCAGCTGGAAGAGAAAGTGCTGAGGAGTAGGACTGAAGCAGAGAAAATGAGGTTGAAAGGAATAGGAGAACAAGTCACCTCCTTAGGAGTGAAACTGAGCTAGTGGACATAGCCAAGATGAAATAGTGGCATGGATGCCAGAAGGAAGTTTATCAAAATTACTTCAGGAGAGGCTCGAAAAGAGGGAATCATCTGTAGACAGAAGGCATAGTGGAAGAAAGAGGTCATTGAAGAGGTCATTGTACAGAAAGTCTGCAGAGAAGCAGGTCCATATGAACTGGCCGTGAGATTGGAAATGTGAAGAACCAGGCTATTGGAACAACTGTATGCTTGAATAGCTTTCCCTTGGGCTAGCAGAGAGCCAACAAATCGATTGCCTTTAATATGGCACTGACTTTAAAAAAAAAAAAAAAAAAAAAAAAAAAGTGAAATGAATTACAGAGCAATTATTTTTGAGATCTTCCTCCCATTTCAGAATGCATTGAATTTATCAGCTCCTGTTCTATTGTGTATTTGATGATTCAGGAGTTCTTTTTAGCCCCCGTGCTCAGTATCAGTGTGCTAGGAGGACATGTTTGAAGATCAAGTGGGGAAAACGATGCTTTCTGAGGGGTGGAAATCTTAAAGAGTCCTCTATGACCAGCATGGCTAACTGGAGGGATTTAGGAAGAAAATTCAGAATAAATTATAAGAAAATACAAAATCTTTCCCTTATGTCAACAACGTGTGAAAAGCTCTGGTTCCTGTTCACACCATGTAGAAACGCCACCTACTTGCTGCTCTGCCCAGTGTTTGCATTGAATACCCAGATGCTATATATTACACAGGAAAAGGAGCACTTTCCAGTAAGTAGCATCGTTCCTTCAGCTTACATTAACACACAGCAAATAATGAGTCTTGTCCTTTATTCATGTGTGACTACTGCTTTATTACGGTGCAGTGTCTCATTTGGCACCTGACTTTCAAGATCTGGCTGGAGGTTTCAGCCTGGTACATCACTTACATAGCTCTAAGTTTTGCTTTGTGCTGCCTCAGCAGCAGGAAGGACCATCCACAGAGTACTGCCTGACCTAAAACATTTCTTTGCTTTTCTTCTTTTGTCGCTCAAGTGCTTTCCTCCTAGAATTCAAGGAAACTCTAATTTTCTGGTTTCTGATGTGTCAAATCCTTTTAAAGAAGTGTGGATGTTGGCTGAACCTTCTGCAGGTTCAGTCTATAATGGATCAGCTGAATGGAAGCCAAGAAGTTCTCTGATGTCTACTATAAGCCAAGGGTCATGTTGTATATGGTGCAAAATGCATGCATGGTGACAGGAAGCAGACTTTTCCCTATGTTTTAAATAAACAATAGCAGATCCAATTTCTAGTTATTGGTGATAGGAAGATCTCCTTGTTCTGTCTGATTTCTGTTTCCTGTAACTCTGTATAAGGTACATCTCATTCATGTTTGCTGTCATTATTTGTATTTTCTAAATGTGTGATGCAGCAAGTTCTTAAAAATAACCATCAACTTTGTATTTGTTTCCAAGAAAATGCTGATGCTTAAATAAAGTACTAATTTTGGATTGCAGCAACTACCCTAAAATGAACACACTCAGCAAGAAATCCAGCAGGGCTATTTTTTGGATTTAGTGTCATAGGTGAGCGGAATAAAGCATGAGCTGATTCAGTCAATGCGTTTTAAATCTGTGAGAATATTTACAATAATTGTTCTAAAAATTCATATAGTTTTTTTAATTACTTACTTTACATTGAAACTGCTTATTTTAGCTCACTATCCTTGTATGCATTTATCCACAAGATAAATCAAAGCAGTATATTTTATGGGGAAACAAGAAGTAATAGTATATGTAAATTTTGGCTGCTGAATTCTTGAAGGAAGTCCACACAGGGCCTGTGAAACAGGCCTAGCATTTTGTGGGTCTCTAGAATAAAACCAAGAGAGTAATTGACAATAATAACTTTTCATAAGGGTGTTAATGGCTCTGAATTAATGAGCAATTATTAATTACAATGAAAATATTCTGAGCAATACTGGAAATGTATTATAAAAACATAATTAGAAATACATAGGATGTTGAATAGGCTCTTTCATGGCGTAGCATTCTTTTCCTCACTGACTTGAAGAGCTGATTATTGTAAATGCATCTATTTTGCAACAGTAACTTAAAAATTTGCTCTTCTGCTTAAAAACTTTTTCTGGTAAATTCATTTAACATTTACGGGGGATGCCAAATTAATTACGCTGTGATTTTTTTTTTTTCCATTTTATTTCAGTCTTCTGTTAGTATTTGCTGCATTTTTAATTCCTTTTAATACATGAGATACCCAGTGCTGTCCATTATTTCCATGAAAACCCTAATTTGGTTGCAATTAATCAGCTATAATATGTCTTCCAGGCTACCTGCTGAGGAAGGCAGGCCAGGGAACAGATTAAAAGCTGAAGCTGGGAAGCCATTTTTCTGCTTGCCCCGATTCAGGATGCAAACTTCAAGTCTGCTACTGCATTTGTAGATAGAGACGGCTTGTGGAAAGCCACACATTTTTCTTTCCATCTCCTGTTGAAACTTAACTTTGCTAGTAGTAATAGCTTATGTGGAAGTCATTCCAGTCTGTCTGCTCAAGCATCTCTTTCCTTTGCGGCTTTGAAATCAGCCGCAGCTTCCTCAGTTACTCCCTGCCTGGAAGGCACCTTCCCAGCAGCAGCAGTCTCCTGCCAGGGCCTGCTGCACAGGGAAGAGCAAAGGTTCCCTCCTGCTACTAGTGCTTCACTTTTTTTTTTTTTCTTTTTCTTTTTCTCTTTCTCTGCTTTCTCCCCAAGTTTAAGCTCTGAGCAGTTACGCATCTCTAAACTACAGTATTTCTATTATAAATAGGAATGTCAACAAGCAGCTTTGCTCCAACACAGGTGAGACCTAAGGAAAAAAGGACGAGAATATTCTGTCATCAGTGGAACAAGTCTGAGAGTGAGCTGTACCTCCACGTGTCTGCTCTGCTGTCTGCAGCATTTGCGTGTGGCCTGTGGTAGTTTGACCATGTATGCTCCTTTTCTTTTTCTTTTAGTTCTACTGCAGTCTTCCTAAATAGTGATTCCAACAGAAAATTTGTAAGGGATGAATATCTCAAAGAGATTCCTACTGTACTGGGAAAGAAGAGATGTAAGGAGGAGATATTTGTAACAACACAGGCCCTGTGGATCTCCACAAAATATCAAATATAGGGAGATTTCTCCATATTCCTAAACATTGAACTTCATGCATGATTCTGATAATTTTTTATATACAAGATGGTAATTGGGTGGTGGGATTTCCATTTCCTCTTTCACGAGGGTATTTCCACAGCTTTCAAACCCTCATTAAACAGCTGTCTGCTCTTAGTACCTATGTTCAAAAACATATGCTCAGAGCTATTAAGACATAATTGCTGTAGTAAAAGCTTGCTATTTTTTTTTACACAAAGCCTGTAAGTTACTATGAGACTGGGAGTTCATTGTTTAATGCTCTAGCAACTAAGGGGAGTATCTTGCAGCATTTTTACACCTTCATGTTCCCTTATTTAACAATACTATGGACTTTTTTAGCAATACTCTTTAAGTATGTTTGAGATTTTAGGTACATAATAAACTGAAACTAATCCATTCAGTGATGTTATGTGTATATTTCAGTATTTTGGAAAACCTGTAACCAAAAATACCTGCAGTGTAACACCTAAATATTATTTTTTCAGTCTTGAGAATCTATAATGGACTGAGAGCCTACACTGAACTTAAGAGTATTGTTAAAGGAAAATTATATTTCACAAGTAAGGGGAATTTTTATCCTTTTCCTTTCTTTTCTCTTTCTCTTTCTCTCTCTTTCTTGTTCTGCTATAGAAGTTTTCAGTTTCAGTGTCTCAGAATCTTTTTTTTTTTCCAGGTTTCTGTCTCAGTAGGTGGGGCATTTCCAACAAGATAACCAAAAGAAAGAATAGTAGGAAATCTTAATCAATTTAATTCTACTATTTTTATACTAATGAACTGTCTGGAATGACAGAGCAGGAACTCAGCAGGAAAAGAACAATAGCGTGTTTACGCAGTACTGGTGAGTAATATAGGTCTAAATTTGGGAAGAATTTGGAAGCAAGGAGTTTGAGAATTCAGCTAGTATTGGAAGTTATGTAAAGAAATTGGAAGAAATGTAAAAAAATTAAATGCCTGCAAATATTATGCTACAAAACAGTTCATAGTTATTTTACTAGTTTCAGCTACTGGGGAACCTGCAGGCTACATTCAATGCCAGCTTGAACCATTAGTGGCTTCTGAAAAAGTAAACGGCTGAGTGGTCTTGCTAACTAAGTACAAGTGAGGAAGTCTTTATGAAGGAGTAAGATTAGCTGTAATTCAAAATGTTGGATGCTGACTTGGTAAGGCATATTGGCTCTGGACTTGGACTGGCGCACACTTCACTGGGTTAGAAACTGTCTGGATAGCCGGGCCCAAAGAGTCGTGGTAAATGGAGTCAAGTCCAGTTGGAGGCCAGTCACTAGTGGCGTTCCCCAGGGCTCGGTGCTGGGGCCGGTCCTCTTTAACATCTTCATCAATGATCTGGACGAGGGCATTGAGTGCACCCTCAGTAAGTTTGCAGATGACACCAAGCTAGGTGCGTGTGTCGATCTGCTCGAGGGTAGGAAGGCTCTGCAGGAGGATCTGGATAGGCTGCACCAATGGGCTGAGGTCAACTGCATGAAGTTCAACAAGGCCAAGTGCCGGGTCCTGCACCTGGGGTGCAATAACCCCAAGCAGAGCTACAGGCTGGGAGATGAGTGGTTGGAGAGCTGCCAGGCAGAGAAGGACCTGGGAGTGATGGTGGATAGTTGGCTGAATATGAGCCAGCAATGTGCTCAGGTGGCCAAGAAGGCCAGCAGCATCCTGGCTTGTATCAGAAACAGTGTGACCAGCAGGGCTAGGGAGGTGATCGTCCCCCTGTACTTGGCTCTGGTGAGGCCGCACCTCGAGTACTGTGTTCAGTTTTGGGCCCCTCGCTACAAGAAGGACATGGAGGTGCTCGAGCGAGTCCAGAGAAGGGCGACGAAGCTGGTGAGGGGCCTGGAGAACAAGTCCTACGAGGAGCGGCTGAGGGAGCTGGGGTTGTTCAGCCTGGAGAAAAGGAGGCTCAGGGGCGACCTTATCGCTCTCTACAGGTACCTCAAAGGAGGCTGTAGCGAGGTGGGGCTTGGTCTGTTCTCCCACATGCCTGGTGACAGGACGAGGGGGAATGGGCTTAAGTTGCGCCAGGGGAGTTTTAGGTTGGATGTTAGGAAGAGCTTCTTTACTGAAAGGGTTGTTAGGCATTGGAACGGGCTGCCCAGGGAAGTGGTGGAGTCCCCATCCCTGGAAGTCTTTAAAAGACGTTTAGATGTAGAGCTTAGGGATATGGTTTAGTGGGGACTGTTAGCGTTAGGTCAGAGGTTGGACTCGATGATCTTGAGGTCTCTTCCAACCTAGAAATTCTGTGATTCTGTGATTCTGTGATTTAACCTGTGATCTTGAGAGGACTGGAAAAAGGCATAAGAACGCTTATGGTGACAGAAAATGAGAACTGTCAGTGTAGAACAGAGTCTTTAAAGAAAAGAACAGTTTTTGAGGTTAACCTCTGCAGAGCTGAGAAGAGAAAATAAATATGCAAAGGGAAACTGGATGTGCTGAAGCTAGTACGTAAAGTTGCAGATGGTTTTATAATTAAGGAGAAAGATAGTCAAACTGAAATCCTGAAAATGAGATGAAGAATCTCATTTTGTTGAAGAGCAAGAAGAGATTTAAGATAACTTCTTAACTTACTTAGAAAGGAAAAGAAATTTAAAGAGGAGAACCAGGGTACCTATCGAGACACTTATGCAAGAAATGTTCATAAGTTTCATACACCTGATGTGAATTTAAATGCTATCACTTCCAAATGTTTTATCAAAAGAGAATAGCCAACTGGGCTATTGCTAGGAAACGTACGTGCTCTGAATCTTTTGAGATCTTCAGAGCTCACAGTTTTGTATGCCTGTTGTAAGTAAATATTTTTCAGGTTACAAGTAATATAAAATTATCCAATATTAAACAAGCTCAGTTGCACTCATTTTTTTCCGTTTTAATTCCCTACTATACCTGTTACATCACACTACATTCTCCAATGGTAGGAATTGCTGTTGAATCTAAATTATGCGTGAGGTTTCTTTCCGTAGTTCAAATGTTTTTTCATTGATAAGCTTTCTTAATAGATTCTTCTTGGTCAAAATTAAGACATTCCTATAGGAGCCAGGAAGAAGCCATTCAGTGGGCCTGCAACAGACACTGCTGATTGCCTGACATCTGGCGTCTGGATTCTCTTCAAGTGCTGGACCATCGTATTCTGTTATCTGTAAGTTGCTTCTCATACAGACTTCACTGGTCTCAGATTTATCATTGTGTTTTATCAGGTGGACTGACACGCAGCAAGTTCTTCATCAGGTCAGTTTATAAAAAGGAAGAAAAGAACTTTCATTGTTTTCCTGGTGTAAATGAAAGACTACAAGTGTCCTGTTCTGGAGATTAGAATCTCAATATATGCTCAGAGGTGTTATTTTCCTTGATTTCTCTGGAACTTAAATGCATTTAGTACAGAAAAAAAAAATGCATGCTTCTGGCAAGAGAAACTGCAGTGATCTGGCTTTTGCTTGATGTTCTTTCCTTGAGAAGTGGATACGTTCATTGGAAATAGAACAAATGGGTGTCACTTCCCATGCAAAAACCGTACAAAAGCTGGATACAGCCTAAAGCTGGTTTTTCACTTGCTGGGTTATGACAACTTCTCTTTTTCCTCTGTAATCTCAAATTATTTCCTCATAATCATGGTGATGTTACTGCAGTTCCCATTAGCGTCAGGATTTAAGAGTTTTCCTTTTCCTTTCCTATTCAGAGGGAAGTAGCTGTACTGATTTGAATATATGTGGGTGTATTTTACCTACAGCCACACAGTTGATGTTGGTTACCAAAACGTGGAAGAAAGCTGGTTAATTTATTGTTTTTTTTTTCCCCACCCAATTCTCTGGAACATCTGAAATCTACTGACTTTTAGTACCTAATTTACTCACCTGAGTTTTCAGTGTACTAAGCATTTCTTACTGCTTTAATTATTCAAGAGATAGTTCTAATTAACTTTAACTTTGGCTAAATGAGGCAAGGTTTGGATAAAAAGATTATTCTTTGTTTTCTAACTCCCCATTCATTCCTACAGTCCGTCTTCTACAGTAAAGGAACTGACAGTTTCTTTGAAAAAGTTATGTGTGAGTGTAAGTAATCTTTAATTCTCTTCTTTTCCTATTTTATAATGTGGATATGCAACCTTAATGGCATTTTTAACATAACATCCTTGAAAGTAATGTTTAGTACTGCAGAAATTTCTTCATGTTGTATCATTCTGACATAGACTGTGGAAATGCCTTATATTTACAGCTCCACTAGATGTGGCTGTATTGTTGAACTATGATGTATATTTACTTAGGACTATCCTGAGTATATGTAAACAAGAGCTGAAACGTTTTTTTTTTATTCTGAAGGGATTGTATGTTTGGTCACATCATACATAGTAGGTATGAGAAGATAATACCTCAATTTGGAAATAGCTGAGTTAAATAAATAAATAAATAGGTTAAAATTTACAGACTTGCAAGCGTTTTAAGGAACATCTTAAAATGAGTAGTGTGAACAACTATTTATTTTTGGATGCAGGTTATTAGCAATTATATTTTAAGAGCAGCATACATACCGTGAAGCCTGCTGGGGGCTTTGCTATAACCAGTCTGTTTTGTATGGAAGTTGCTGAAATACCAGTAATGCGTTTTAAACTCTAATGCAAACAAGAACCCAAAATTGTGTTTTCAGCTGTACTTGTGAAATAGCTATGTATGCAGGCATTCATATGCGTAGAGAACAAACATGGCTCAAAGCTTAACAGACCGAAACCTTTTATAAAGTATCAGATATGATGTTGACAATTTTCAGATTTTACCCAGGAAATGATTCTTTAATGACTATTAAGAAAACTGGTAGTGCTGAAAACATGCACAGTTCAGTGGATTTATTAAGGGGTGCAGATGCTTTAAAAATAATATTAATTGCCAGGCAGTTTCTCAAAGCCAAAAAACCTTTATAGGGAAAAATACAGTAATTCCTATCAGTCAATTTTTACTCATGTACTATAAAGACAGTGAATATGGACTGGAGGGGTTTGTATGTCAAGACCAAATTTTATTTATTTATTTATTTATTTTCAGGTTGTCTTTGAAGTGCAATAAAGTAGCATAGGTCTAATGAGATTTCATGCTATTGCAGCCTGTAATTTGAAAACCATTGCATGAGAAATTTGAAAAGAAATATACAAATGAAACTGAAAAAAATATAGAGCTTTAAAAGTATTGAGAGCAATTCTCATAAACTTATTTATTTTACCCAAATAAATTTCTGAGATTATTAAAATTGCCCTGAGAGCTTAGACATAACTTGGGAAGGGCAGTACTTCCTAAATACTTCGGAAAACTGTCTGCTCTCTAGGTTTCGTAAAAGCCTGACTCATTCTCTTTTTAGAGAAAAGAGAGAAAACGGACTAAAACAGGAGATGTACTTTGGAAGGGACCATGAGACAGATTTTGTTTTATTAAGTCATGTCAATACAGAATTTGACTATGTAATTATTTTTTTTTGGTTGTTTCTACATATAGCTATTGATGTGGGAGTTTCTATGAAAGTGTTTTGATCAATAGTCATCTTCACTAGAACAAGTTTGGAAGTACAAAGCATTTCCATTTTTATTACCTGTATTTGATCCATGACTAATTGCTTTTATCCTGTGAGGTTGTGTTTCTGTAAATTTATCTGTACGGTCTTAATGAGCACATTGAAAGTCTGAAGCTAACCCTACAGCTGAATGAACAAAGTCATCAGTAGCTAGGAAGTGAGTTCAATTTAGTGATGAATTTTTCTTTTTTTGTGTGTATTTTTTAAGGATTTTAATTATTGTTATAGCACCTCAGAATATGAAGTACCTCACAGTGAGAATGAGAAGACAGGTCCTTAATTTGGGTAAGTTCATATCAGATTCTGATCTGGCATGTACTCAATGGTCAGTCTGCACAGAATTCACAGCTGTATGAAAGTTTAATTTCAGTGATTGAAAAGATTTGCAAACAGGGCACAGGGGCTGTACTAAAGTGAAATGCGTGAAGGCGGGGCCTTTTTAGCATTGGTAGCTAAGTTTTGAAAAACTAGGAAACTGGTTCAAGGTGGGGACTTCTATAGCATCTGCTGTTCTTTAACAAAATTTTCTAAAACACCTGCGTTTCTGTAACTGTCATACGGACATTTGGAGCTCTTTATTTTTCTCCCTTTTGCTTCTTAATATTTTATACTTCTGTTGATGTCATCATCAAACTGGCTCTTAACCATTTTTCAAATAGATACCAAAATGTAACAAAAATTTGGAAATTACATTTAGCAAACTCTGGAAAACAGGTTGCATAGCAGAAGGAGGAATTTTGTTGCACTTCTATCACAGAGTCAATTCTTAGTACAGCCAGTACAAGGCAAGACTGACTTAAGAAAGAGATTAAAAATTTTTGTTCCTAAAAGCCGTACTGAAACCCAACTCTAAAATGGCTCTGCTTCTGGGAACTGGCTGTATGTTAACTTTATATATATCCGTACCCCATAATTGCAAAGGAATGCAGAAACAATCTCATTGTGAAAGTAGCTTTACAGTAAGTTGACTTGCCCCTAAATGTAGCACTCTTCTCTCCTAACTCCTAACTACAGAAATTCTTAGAAACTGCTCCATTCCACATGCAATGGCCTAGTATGACATTGTGTAAGTTGCAAGACCTTATAGTTTACAAATGTTACCTTTTTTTTTTTTTTTTTTTTAATGTGCAATAGATGTGCTATATATTTTACTAAAACCTGTCTTTCTCATTGTGTTTTATATGAAGTAGCTCAACATGAATTGCCTAGAATTCATCTAGGGACACAGTGTAAGCTACATTGCATGTACTTACAGCTCTCCCAAATATTGCTCTCCATACCAGAGGAAAATGTCATTTCCACTACTGTTGCTCCAATTGTATTAGCCCTGGAAAATTTTTGTTCAATAAGGGATGCACAGTAGGGCTGACTAGAGTAGTATCATTTGTGAACTAAGAGAACAAACTGCAGCAGCCTAATGCTGCATAGTAGTAGTTAGTTTCTAATGGTCCTAACAAAATTTCTTCTTTTGAAAGACATTTTAAATCTTATTTAGTTGGGTTTTATTGTTTCAAATAAAATGCCTTACCTTCCAGTTCTCCCTAAATGGCTGCATATAAAAAATATTGGAGGGAAAGTTCCAGTGACCTATTGCATTGTTCTAACATTATTTTTCCGAGCAAAGGCTGCTTGTCTTGGCAATCATTCACAATTATGAAGTCCTTCCAAAGGAAGATAAGGCTTCATCCTCTTTGAATTGGTCCAAAAAAAAAATAAAAAAAAAAATTCAGTGACTAGTGCTAATCCTTGCCAATAACTTTCTGAAGTTATTGCAAATAAATAACTTGCACTGCCTGATTAGTAGCAAGATTTATAGGGCCAATGTGAAGAAAATGGTGGAGGTTGGTCTATTCTCCCACATGCCTGGTGACAGGATGAGGGGGAATGGGCTTAAGTTGCGCCAGGGGTGTTTTAGGTTGGATATTAGGAAGAACTTTTTTACTAAGAGGGTTGTGAGGCATTGGAGTGGGCTGCCCAGGGAAGTGGAGTCACCATCCCTGGAGGTCTTTAAAAGACGTTTAGATGCAGAGCTTAGGGATATGGTTTAGTGGAGGACTTGTTGGTGTTAGGTCAGAGGTTGGACTCGATGATCTTGAGGTCTCTTCCAACCTGGACAATTCCATGATTCTGTGAAAATCTCATGAATGTTTGTATAGCCAAATCACTCTGGTCACATATTTCTCTTTAGAGAAGCAAAGACAAAAATGGTAGTATGACTCAGTTCTCATTCAGGCATAGAATAAAAGCAATTATCTCCCTTATTTTTATTACTGGTTACTATGTTATTAACTCTGATGCTGTGCTACGTAATTACTTGATGGGCATTTATAAAAATGTGACGAGAATGTGTACTCACAAAGTGTATAATAGTATAAGGAATAGAATATATTACACAGGAAGGAAAAAAAAAAGATATCGAAGCTACCTACCTCAGAGAGACAAATTGTGGTCCTGCAGGTGAACACACAACAGTGAAGTCAAAAGCAAAACAAGTTATGCATGACTTTTTGTAACTGTTTTCCAAATTTTTTAAAGAAAACTAAAATTGAGACTGAGTTACCTATTTGCTTTTATATGGAGCTTATGTACCCTACAGTGGATACAGTTCTGAAGACTGACACAATTCAACGTGGACATATGTTGGTTTAGCATTTTAGGTGTCTAGAAGGATTGCAGTAAGACTTGGAATGTTGTGTTGCTCTCCGTCCCCTTTAATATTTCAGTTATGTCTTTAACTTTCCTATGTAATTCACATTGACACATTCACAGTGAGTATTTTCCATCACAGCTTGAATAGAGGCACACACTTCCACCAAGCTCGTAAAACAAAGTCACATAGGAGTTTCCATTGGAAACAGCGGTGCATGGGCTGCACTTGTAAACAGAGGTACAACCTGGTGTTACTGACATTCACCAGTAAAGTGAGAAAAATGTTTATAAATGATCTTACAGTTCAGTAACTCTGAGAACTCTGAGATAATTTCAAATACAAGTTCCTTGTTTTATGAAGAATTGGACCAAGAAGCTCATTGTCATAGTGAGTTGAGTTTCTCTTTTTCCTGTATAATCTCTAATTACTGACAAGATAAATGCAGATACAGCACTACCTGTAGCACTAGGAAACAAATGATTTATATTTTATGTAGCTTCACTAAAAGATAATTTGTAAGAGGCATTTTTGGTAGAAATTTTCTGTATGTACATAAATCAATGAGTAAAAACTTACTACAAAAGCAATGATAATACCAGAAGATAAATGTATATTCTTTTGTATACTTTTTTTTTTTTAATATGTATATCAATAATAATTTACTGTGTCAGTATATCTGTATATATCTAACAAAATGCAGAACAATTTTAAAATATTAGTGCAGGCCATAAAGTTTTGTATTGTAAGGAGTTTTAAACTGCAACTGGGAAAGAATATAATTTCAAAGGAACATAACAGGATAGGATCAAACTGCAGGTATAAACAACTAAATGTAAGTTGGGGATTTTTTTTGCAGTGTAGGAGTCTATATGGTCTATATGTGAACACTCATAGTTACTCAGATTTGGTAAAACTGGCCCAAATCCTACAGCTAAATGGAATGTATGTAAACCTTAGGATTTTTTTTCCTTTCTTTCTGCCTTTCTAGAACTTGATTAAAGGTCAAATATTAATCTCACAACCTAAACACAGGCAAATCCAGCACAGGTGAAAAGAGGAAGATTAATTTTCTTATCTGAAAAGTAGCATGCATTGTGCCTTGATAAATGAGCATTCATCTCATTTCCAGTCAAGTGCTTTGCATTTCCGTGAATTAAATAGGCTTTGATTTCAGGTAATGATACTCTCTGATTACACGATACATTTTAGTTGGGAAACTTTCAGGAAGCTTCTTGTTTTTTTCCAACGATAAAATGCTAGATCCTTTCACAAATTTATATGCTCCAATATTTAACACTTTTCATATGTATTGTTCATTCTGTGTGGGTTCTGACTCTTTTTTTCATGTTGTGCTTCTTTTTTAATTGCTGAAGAAACAGTATTTTGCAATAAAATAAGACAACCCAACGAAGGAAATCATATCTCTAGTAAGGGGGAATACTATTGTGTTCAAATAAGGAAATTACTTAAAGAACTGCGTGATGAACTTGGCCTGCTATGTGCAGTCCTCATCTTCCTCTGAAGTGCGCGCTGTTGATTATTACTTTTTTTTTTTTTTTTTTTTTTTTTTTTTTACCAATGGTAAATGCTGCTGATGTGGCGAACAATCTGTTTCTCAGGCAATTTTGCCAGAGTACTGTGTAGTCTTGCACTTCTGGCCTGAGAGCTATGGGTCTCTCTGTCCAGGTGGCCAACTTTGTCAGGGCAATAAATTGATGTTCTTCTCTGTCACAGAGGAAGTGTGGAGAAGGGAAAATGGTCTTCCTTCCAAAGGATATTTGCCTTTGCCATAGTGATAGAAAAAGCTGATGAATAAATCAACCAGGAAAAAAAAAAGGGGGGGGGGGGGTCAGAAAACTTATGGCAAAGGAAAAAACAATGAGAATATTGTATATGTCAGGACTCTGGTTGCCATTTCATAAACAAACTTCTTCCTATTTTTGTGTATTTTACTTGGATATCCTGTTTCTTTCTTTATCCACTGTGTGACATTTGGATTTCAAAAAGGACTGAATCCATGGAAAGGTTTCACATATGATATATTTGGAGAGGGTGGAGTTTCTTCTACTAAAATTCAGAAATGTTTGAAAAGTAATAATAGGTGCTACTGAAATGGTAAATGCCATTTTTTCTCTCAAGAAAGAATGGAAAGAAACGCATCGGGGGAAAAAAATAGTGATTCTTACAAAATATTAGGGATTTACTATTTCCTTCTTGTATTTTGAAAACAATTTTAACATGCATTTCCACATTGTGTTGCAAACCCAGCTTTCGCTTTTTGGATAATGATGTTCTTTGTGACAAAGTTTGCAAACTTTTGTACCTCAGCAAAGACTGCCTCCTAAAGTGCAGCTGTGCTTCATACTTGAGCCTTGGTCTGAGTTGCCTATCATAACAGAAAGTTCCCTGTAAAGTATTTATGAATCTTGTTCCTCTCAACTTCAGTTAAACTGATTCTGGGCAGTGAAATTGCATAGTTTTTTAGACTCTCCAGTTTCTAGTGGTAGTAAATAAGATGCTCTCAATTTTACAAAATCAGTTAGTACGACATTATAGAGCTGAAGGGGACAATGCAAAGTCTCGTAGTTTCTCTAGAAAATTATTTGAGTCCATTGGATTTTAGATTAGGTCAGAATGAAGACTCACATAAGAAGGTGATGAGCATAACTTTAGGAAAACTTACCTTCAGAGGTGGATGGCAACAGGCAGCTTTATAGCAGCACGTAGTGCAAAGTCAGCAGGTGGTGAAGCTGCTACGCAGAAGAAGCAGCAGCTTCTTTGAAGCTGGAAGATGGCAACAGCTGTTTTTCACAGCAAAAGCTTGGCAGTCTGTGTGCAAAATTGAGATGCTCTGAAGAGGTCATTTGATGAAGCTTAGTAGCATCCAAAATTCAGCAATGATTGAGACTGTTTTGTAGTTGCATGGAGAATAAAAGAGTCAAATAAGAGAGTCAATAGAGTTCCACTTCCAGATTTCTTAGACATTTATCAAATTTGTTTCTATGTGTTAATAAGATTTTATTATATTGAATTATACTCCCAAAACCACATACTAGATGCACAGAAACCATCTCTCTGAGTCCTTATGTAATCAAATGTATCACTTGTGATTCCCCTGTTCTTAGGCTTTTGCCTTTTCATCTGCTTTTGGCCAGTGTCAGAAAGAGATTTTTATCAAATACATGAGCACTTGCAGTGGATCAGTCAAAATTGTATCTAGACAAAATCCTAAATTTGATAAAACTCACTGGTGTGTCAAGGTCTGGATAATGTCATCTCTCTCTTCCCTATAAAAATACACTGAAGAGTACATTCAAACAAGATCTGAATTCCTGAAATAATGTAAATGGGGGAGGAGGAGTGAGATCTTGTGTACCAACTATCCCCTGCCTACTCTTCATTATTGTTCAAAGGTATAGAGGAATATTGAATTAAATGGAAAAATCCTCTTTGTCTTACAAAAGCATAGATCTTATGTCAAACATTTTGAAGTAAGATTACTTTTCTAGTATATTTGGAACCGTGTAATATAAGAGACAAACGTTATCAGTGGAATTTATAGATGGAAAAGGTTCCTTTTTATATAAGGAGGTAAAAACCCTAAATGTGTCATGTTTCATAATATGAGAATAGGAGACTAAGAATATTCTCTATAAAATTTTCTTCTATCTGAAATGTGCATGGTAGCACCATTTGTCCTTCCCTTTGAACTACTTGAGAAGATAAAACATTTTTCGTAAAATCTGTGAGATGCTGAGACTAATGATATTTCAGGTAGAGACTTTTTCTGGTTATCCATTCCCTGTTACACATTTTTTCCTCCCCCCTTTTTTTCATAAATATATATATCTAATTATATCATATCAAATTAAATTATCTTTATATATATTATTATATATTATATTAATATATTGTAATTATATTGTAAATTATATTATTATTATAAAATTTATATATAGTTTTTATGTATAAAATATATTTACATCTTCTGTTGTGTTTCATGGAACAATGTTAAGTGATTCCTGAGCAGAAAGCTGGCATTTGTCAGGAAATATTTCGAGTTCTTGAGTAAAAAGATCTTATGGTATTTGTAAGAATTTATTTTACTGCTCTTTCAAATAGCCTCCTGTTGTGTGGATCCTGGAAATTTTATGAAGAAGCTAATGACGGCATCTGACATTCATGCTTACATTGAGCAGTAAATTTCTCAGAGTAGAGCCTGTGTAAATTATCTCTGTGTAAACCACTGTTCCTCATTGTCAAGGTGGTAGATTGCATTCTTCTTTAACAGTGAGATTTTAAAGCTGCCTTGGGTTCCTGGGCACTTGCTCCATATTTGTTGGGGAAGCACAAAGCTGCTCTCACTTTTACTGAACGCTGCTGCGTATTGTAAAGAGATGTGACAATGCAGGCTATACTCGCTTTCATTCCAGGCTCTTGAAATGCCATGCACTTGACAGAGCTCTCTGAATAATCTAGGCATTTCTCTTTTGAAAGACAGCAAGCAATTAAAGCCCAGATAAATCTGGAAGTTCTCTGTCATGTTTCAAGTCGGGCTTCTATAGTGTATCACCTTCAGTGACCTTAAAGAGTAGCTATGAACCTGATATAGATGGCTTATAATGAGATTACCAAGAAATTACAGATGACTTCTTGCTTGGTTTTATGTACTATTTCTTCTAATTAGGTCCATCCAGGATTTCCAGTTATTCACAATGGTTTGTTTTATAGTTATGTGCCAGAAAGTGCTATTTCCAGTCATATCGAGTAGATAATTACATCAGTGAAAGCACTGAACTTGACTGTCCGAGTTTTTGTCACCTGAAAAAAGGTTGGAAGGGTAAAATTAATCTTAAAAGGCTAACTATACAATACAAATCCTGATAAAAATACATGAATACCATAGTACAAAATATGTTTATTAAAACATCAATATTTATAAGGAAGAGTAAGAAAAACAAATATCAACGTAAGTTTATAGGTAATTAGAAGAAAGATATATCTTTAAAAAGAATATTATGCAAAACTGATGATTAATTCATATCTACCATAACCCCCAGATCTAGTCTAAATTAATAATTTTTATACTGTGTTGTCTACTCCTTTTAATATCTAAGAAAGTAATATTGGCACTTGTAATAAGATCTTAATATGATGATCTAGTAGCTACTGGTAAATTGTTCAGATTAATTTAGTAATCTTTACCTGGGTAGTTATGTATTTTTAAAGATGCTGCTTATTTTTCTACTTTGTGATAAATTTGTGTTCATTCTTGTAATCATTTGCATATATATACATATATCTATATACTATCTATCTGTGTGTATATACATATATCTATGTACTTTATATTCGACCTGAAAAATTGTCCTCCTTTACATTAAATCTGCAAATCTTCTAGTCAGCTTGCTTAATAAATTTTATGAACTCCAGTTGGCAGGATAAAAGGAATGTTTTTTTTTTTTTTTTCTAAAATTATTAGTCATCCTAAATTGTGTGTAAGCTGTATTTTCTGAACTCATAAGGTCCATAGGCTGACCTTAGAGCTAGAATGAATGTCTCTTCATACCACAAAATTCAATGTAGTCATGGCACAAGACACCTGAGTAATGTGCCAAAAAAAAAGAAGTCAGCAGCTGGATCATGGCATGACTAGTGGGTAAATCAGTGTAATAAAATGTCAGCTAAAGGGTGATAGTTTTATATCAAATAATTTATATCAATAATACAGAACTACTAGAGAGTATTTATTTTCAGCGTAAGATAGTTGTGTTGTATTAATTCAAATAGTTTAGGAAACTAAGCCTTGTATAATTTGCTCAAAATCTTAATGAATTAACCCTTGAACATGGCCCTGGAAATTCTTGTGCCCTGATGGCCTTACAAATACCAAGTACACTTTGCTGCTTGATGTCTTGAATACAGGAAGGCATTGCGTAGGTGTCTAATTTCAAGATCATGAGCCTACCAGAAGTTAAGTGGATTTGGTTCTCAATCCAGAAAAGGGTTCAACACTGCATATGTAACATTTTGATGACTTACCTTTTAGTACCTGGGCTGCACAGAAATGTTTTATGTTTCCTATTAGGATACTCCAGCTTTCAATTAAAAGCACTCACACTAGCTGCTTGGTTCTCTCTGATCCAGTCAATAGTGTTTTGGTTTTTCTATCAGTTAGAGAAATTTTTACAGAAAAAAAAAAAAAAAAAGGTGGAGTATTTGTCTGGAGCTCAACTATTGGGGAGAGGTACTACTGTCTGTTCCTCATGCTGTAGAGTTGGTTAAAGTCAGAAATGAAGTCAATGGAGACAAAATATATCCAAGTAAAAAGGTTGGTTGTTCCTAACGAATCAGTATTCACACGCAATTCTGGGAAATTTCAGGAGGGATCCTTAGTTAAGAAGCATGGGAATATCAGAAGTCAAACATTTCTCAAGGTAATTCAGCACAGAGCTTTATCCTGCCTGACAGCAGTTTCAAACGTGTGTCACATTTCTTAAGTCACCTCTTATCACTACAGAGTAACGTGGTCTGTGATAGGTGACACAACCTTGAAAGTTATTCTTGCTCAGTTGCCTATTTCGGACAACAAGGATTTTGGCTTTGATGCTGTGCCAAGTAATTGTCTTGAAAGGGGAAGTAAATCCCAGGAACTCCCATCATTCTTACTCTTGCTTGTCTGGAAAAAAATCAATCGCTGATGTTTTTTATTACTTTGCTAATCCTCCATTAGCATATTCCTTCCATGAAAGTGTTAATAAGGCGAGTAGCTAGGATGATAGTTAACTCTGGGTGGTGGGGAAGAAAACAGTATAAGTCATAAAACAGCGTGTTGTTGGTTTAGGATAGAGCACATTCAAAAACAGAAAGAAGAGATGCCAGGTCCTTAAAGTGTCACTTTGTTAGTGTATGTACATACAGCCACATATTTTGCTGCTGCAAAATGCTCTCTTGGATGTTTGGCTTGATGGAAGTGAAAATCAGTTTGTTTTTTCTTGTTTCTAATTGGAGGGTTGTTTACTATAGAACTTCCAGCCCACCTACAGAGACAGAGAAGTGGCGATATCTAGATCAAAAAAGACTTCCATATGTGCCAGTTAAAAATAAATACATTGAGCGTTCCCCATAATCCTTTCCCATGTGGAAGGTTTGAAAATGATGATTCTTGAATCATGCAATGTTAAGTCTTTGTGATATCTGTACAATACTGCTAGTGAGGTGGTCTACTTTGGGATTACAAAGGTAACATTTATATAACACAGTGCAGCAAAAATAATATCTATACTGCTGAACACAGCTCTTCAGAGTAAGAACTATCATAAAAGAATAAAGAATATAGTTTGTGATAGACAAGTTTCAGGACAGATAATCAGCTAGTAGCGGTGCAGCTATCAGTAGTCTGTCTAGGGAGAGTCAAAGTTCTTCATTTGTTTCTGATGTGTCTATTTGGCTTCTGATCCACCTGGAATGATCTGTTACAGAACTTGCTCTCATCGTTACCCTTTTTCTTTCTGGCTGTGTAGGGACATACTTGTCCTCATGACTGAAGGACGGAAACGAGATGGGAAATAGGGAAGTGACTGATCTCCGTTTTCCCATAGTCTGGTATCTACAAGTGCCTTGGGGAGGATCTGCTGGCAATTAATAATGGAGGTTGGTTGAAAGTGTTCCTCTACCCTCTTCTTGACTGATTTAATCTAATGATGCGAAGTGCTGGCCTTAACGATGTACACAACAGATTTACTGGTATTGGGATTTCACATGGGGTGCTGGGAGAATTAAGTAACTCAGCTTGTATTCATTAAATGTTTTGGTTTACTTTATCTTACCATATCCCAGGTCCTAGCCAGTGTCTGCGCTTTTACCCAAATTCCACTTTATTTCTTTACTCTGACCATTTTGAATTAGTTTTGTCTGAAAAGTTGCAATTCCAGTGAGAACAAATGACTTGGATATATCTCAGTACTTTTAGCTCAAAATAGGTCTGAGCTTCTACAGTCACAAAAACATTTTGAAAACTCCAAGGGTGTACTTGAATTTGGTTCTTGATATATACTGGAGTGTATTTACCGGAGTGTATTTCGAAATAGGGAACTTTTTTTTTTTTTTTAACATATGTCTTCGTGAAGAGTGGTGCTCAGCTACTCAAACTGATTAAGTTTTACTTCAAGTACTTTGCTTAATACTTTAAGGAATGTGTGGGTTTAAAGGTTAGCCAACAGTTTCACTTCCAGCCCTGCTGGATCTAAAAAACTTTTTTCTTTATTTTCAGAAATAAGATTTGGGATTTCCACAGCTTGTTTTTTTGGCAGCAACAACTGAGTAAGATCAAAAGTAGGGACTTTTCTTTTCAGTAGCTGCGATTTACTTCATAATGAACTTTTTGTTTCTTCTGTGAAGTGAAACAGACAATGTCTCTGAAGAGAATAAGATATTAGCTATTTTGTAGTCTATGCAAATTATAACACACTTGTGTTTTTATGTTATCTGATATTTTTTGTGTATTTTGGGTGACTTTAGTTGCTGTGCAGTTACTAACCAAACAGGAAGTGTCATAGCTGGTGAGCTGGTGCCTGAGAAAGATAACGAAGGAAGTCAATGCATATGTTTTAGTTGCTGTTGGTGGTTTTTAATAGACAGTGTTTCAGAAATTCCAGAAAAGGTAAAGAAGCAGATGATAAATCTTTAAGTTGTTTCTTTTTTACCTTTCTTCAATAGATGACAAGTTAGATGTGGAGTACAATTGTAAGGTGTGATGTGGGTTACAGGGTAAGGCGTTGGTGTTCTTTTTGTAACTAGGAACAAAGTTACAATTCCTGAAACAGGCACAATCCTTTAAATAGATCTGCAAGTAGATCCCATCCTTGTCATCCAGAGATGAAAATTATGGGGAGTCAGTGATGCTCTCCTCCCCATCTTGGGGTTACACAGAATTTGTACTATTGCCAGGTGATAAGAAAGAAGGCGAAGGGAGTTAAGGAAAGCAAAGGGTCAGGAAAGTACTGGGAACCAAAAAGCCAGTAGGCACTGAGGAAGGAAAAACGGTATATAACCCATATAACAGTCTATTGAGGTTACTGAGCACTGAGAGGCTGAGGCTACCATATCATTGCCCGCTGTACAGGTCAGCAGTATTCATACGTGTCCTCCAGGTTCATGTTTCTTCAATTACTTGATCATGTAATTACTTGATCATACTTACTGAAGATGCTTAGTAATAAATATGCTTGCATATCTTTCTGTGTTGGGGCCATATATAGAAATAATTATTCCAGCAGTATGTATTTTTTAGTAGAAATCCCAAGCGGTGGCTCTAGATGCAGAGATTGTGCTGAAGCACTACATAGTATTTTTAACTGGCACAGGAAACAGAAAGTGAAATCAGGCCAGTTTCCTTCTAACTTTTTTTTTTTTTTTTTTTTTTTTTTTTTTTTTAATCCCCTATGCCAAAAGAGAAGGATTAACCCTCTTGGCAGTAAATCACAAAATCAGTGGTGAAGGTATTAGGAGACCAGATTCAGCATTACTCTTAGCCTTTCAGCTTTCCCCTAACAGTCTCCTTCACACAGTTAAGAACATCAGAAATGCAGAAATAGGGTTTGAAATGTTGGATAACTAGCTTCCTGCATAATGCACATTATGTTCATTATTATATGTTAGTTCATTTAAGGCATCGAGAACTTATGATCTCTCTTTGACTAGAGGAAATTAAGTGGAATTTGTTTCTAGATATTTAACGTGGTTGTAGAAGTATGAATTAAAGCAAATGCTTAGAAAAGTTCTGACGTGGCTTTCTTGTCCTATGTTCCAGAAGAGGTCATAACTAAGTTTCGGTTTCCTGAAGGACATTTGTTTTTTCTGATGCCAGGCCAAAAATGATGTGTTCACTATTTCCAAACTGCCTTCTGAGACACACATTTGTTTTATCTTTGTTTGTCCACCAAAGCCTGAGAAAAGTCTCTTTTGATTACTAGATGTATTGGGAAAACATTTATTTATGTCCTAGTGCTTAATTCTTTCAATCTTTTGTGTCTTTAGCAATATTATTATTATTATTATTACTTTTAATACTGGTTACATTCCAGTGTTCATTATGCTCTGCGTGTGTCTGAATTTCTTCCAGTTGATCCTATAATGCTTGTGAATCTAGAAGCATCCTCTATTTTTTATCACCAGCATCCTCCACTGTGCCATTTGAAAAGCTGGAGTTGAACTCTTGACAACCCTTCAAACTTGCCAGCTGCTTTCTGCCTGTTTTCAAACAGAACAGCCAGTTCTGAAAACAAGCAAACTGGATATTCACTTTCCTATTTGCAGGTTGATGTTGAGGATAACAGAGACAATAATTAAGTACATTTTAAGAAATTTCTGAATTTCCTGGCAGATCTAGAATCTGAATATGTATTGGCTCATCTTGCTCTTACCTATTCTGTCTGATTAAACTTGATCACTCAGTATAGTAGTCCCTCTGGTAAGGATCCAACTCCAGTTAATGGCAGCTGTCCAGTTTAATTTAGTGGGAGCCGTATCAGAGTTATTTCCTATTCTGAGTTATCTGATTAAAGGTTTGATTACAGTTTTTCCAGCATGCGGATATGGCCTTCTATGTTTATATCTTCTTGTGTCTAGAAACTGATTTCCCAGAAATAGGGAAAGTTTGCCTTTTCTCCCTCAGCTTAGACTGCGATTATTTAAGCAATCAAACCAAAATTTTCATCTCTTATTTCTCTCTGGCTGTGATTAAGAAGTATTTATTTGCAACTTAAGTAGGAGAATATAGTTCCTACTTTTTTCTCTGGTCAGATTTTTGTTTACAGAATTTGATAAACAATACTTCCAGAACAGTCTGTTTCTTGCATTTTCTGAGACTTACGAGAATTTTTATTTGTCTTCCTCCTCCTCCTTCTCTAATAAAAACGGTAACTATGATAATAAAATAACACATTATAGGAGAATCCACTGTGACAGTTTTAGTTTTAGTGAGTTTTGTTTGGGCATTTCTAGCTTTTTTGTATTTCCCTGCTTATTGTCTTCTACATAATTCTTGGGTTCTTTTGTTTATTGTTATTGCTATTAATATTACTGGTCTGAAGACATTTTCTGACATTACAATTCTAACTTCCCACAATTATTACATCCCTTTTATATTTGAGTTCATGAAGAGTATATAAAGGGGGGGAAAATGTCCAATGCTTCTTACTTTGCCTCGTGTAAGATCTTTGACAGAGTCATGAATGTAGTTACTACATTGTGCTTTGGTGTTTCTATGGAATCATAGAATGGCTTGGGTTGGAAGGGACCTTAAAGATCATCTAACACCAACCCCCCTGCCGTAGGCACAGGGATGCCACCCACTAGATCAGGTAGGACAAGGCTCCATCCAGCCTGGCCTTAAACACCTCCAGGGACGGGGCATCCACAACTTCTCTTTGCAACATGTTCCAGAGCCTCACTACCCTTACAGTGAAGAATTTCCTCCTTATATCTAGTCTAAATCTATCTTCTTTAAGTTTAAGAACATTCCCCCTTGTCCTATCCTTATCTACCCAAGTAGCTTTTCCAGTTGGGCTATACCTTGACAAATATATAAATGTGGTGGAAACTATAGTCAGAGAAAAAATCATTTTAAAAAAAAAAAAATTAATCTGAAGAAGACATCATGCCTGTAGGCCAGCAGGAGCTTTACATCTTCCAGTACTAATCTCACCCGAATGTGAGATTTTAGAGCTAGCATTAGGTTAATGACCATAAAATATGCATGGCTCAAAAAGGATTAGATTAATGTAGGACAAATGTTTCAGCAATTAAATTTCTTCAGCATTGACAGCATTATTTCTTCAGTCTTCATTTTTCCAATTTATTACTCATTTACTAAATAGCTGAATTTATGTCCTTTATAAAATATGCTTCATGATGACAATATTTCATAGATATCAAATAGTCAAATTTTTGCATACCAAATCATTTGTCAGAAATATTTTAAAAACATGTATGTTTTACACAGAATTTCTTGCTGCTTTTGTTTAGTGATGCATGTTTGAACAATATGAACTACCCAAGTTGTTGAGGTTTGGAAGCCTTTATCCATTCTTTGCACTCATAGCATTTCCTAATTTAAAATTACATGCAGAAAATGTAACTTTATTTTTTCCTAATATTGTCTCTTTATTAGCCAGGAGTAGTAGTCCTCAGAAATAGTCTTTGTTCCCAACTGCATATGTATATCCATTGGATGCCTAACACTGAAGATAATCCTTGAGCTGCATATTTTCAACTTCTGTACTTCAGTTATACAGAAATGGGACATGAGAGACCTTAGAGGCATATCAGTAATGTAATACAGAGCAGTAGCATCTTGAAAGAGGGACATTTTAGGGACATTGTTGAAGTAGAATTTAGAAAATGAGTTCATTCAGTTTGTCTGAACATGATGATCTTAATTCAAGCTGAGCAAGCTAGATCTGCAGACTTCTGTTAGCTGGCTGACTTCATTATTAAGGATCAAAAATACTTAGTAACATGAGTAGCATTACCTCTGGGAGTGCTAGTAGTTTTCAAAAGAAATACTGAGCTAGGTAAAATTATTCATCAAAGAACATTGTTTTCTCCAGTTGGCTCAGTTTTGACTCTCAAGTTTTCTCCAATGACTCAGTCCCATTAAAATGTTTGCTCTGAAAACAAACCTGAATAACTTCTCCATCTCAGATATAGTTCCGTTCCTTACACGTAATTACCCACATCCATTCATTTTATCAGTCATATGCCAGATCAGATATTGACATTGTTTTTTTTTTTTTTTTTTTTTTTTTTTTTTTTTTTTTTAAAGTGTTCTAGGAACTCCATTACAAGTGTTAATATTTATTTTCTTGCGCTTTAAGTTTTGCATTTAAAAAAGCAGCAGAGGGCGCTGAGACTGCTGGCACAGCCCTGCATGGATCTCTTCCTCCCTATCCTGGATTTCCCCATCATGGGATTTCCCGCTCCACTTCAAGAGCCTTTATAAAGAGCTCACTGCAGCGATTATCATAAACAGTTGCAGAGCAGCAGGCTCTCACTGTGCTTCTTCAGAGAAAATAAAGCGAGGCTTTTTTTTTTTTTTTTTTTCCTTATAACAGCAATTCTAAATGTTAAAAAAGATGGGAAGAATAAACCAAGCTGTGCTAATTATTTTGTATGTGTTAATAACTGGTAAGTTGGGAAGGTTTGTTTCTTTATTTGCTTTCAATTTTCTTAATTGTAAATTGACCTACAATTTACTGTTTTATTGTTCTCTCTCTTTGTTTGGTTTGCTTTTACATTCCAGTGAATGCAACTGTCAATTAAGTAGTTCTTTCAAAATGTCAATAAGTTTATTTTTGGCATTTATTTTGAGCTGTTCTTTGCTCCACAATGACTCTTATTGAATTTGGCTAAAAGATAGTCTTGGAGACAACTGCAGTACATCACTGTATGTCTGGTTTTTACTGCCATACCTGACAGTACCAGTCAAGCTTGGTACTAAATGCCCTGTTGAAAGCAATTCTGCAGTTGTCCTTACTATCTTATTTACCATCCATCCCCACAAATGTTACAAAGGTTTAGAACTAGATCCACCTGGTAGAAAAGTTATATTGTACCAATGCATTTATTTTCATTGACCACATTGGTTTTATACATTTTTTACTCATCAGAACTATCTGTTAGGATCATCTGAATCTGTGTTAACTATGACAAAAATAGTGATTTTTATGGGGTATTTTGGAAATGTAAACCATTGTATCATCTGTTAATTTAACCTCAGCACAATTGTAAACTTGTAAAATAATAAGCTCTTGTCACAGTAGAAGAAGAGGGGAAATAAATGTTAAGAATGCTACTGAGTTTATGTATGTTCTCCCTATTGTAGTTAAAGCCTTTGAAATGGAGATTATACCTGCTAGCAAAATTGTTGTACAGATTGGAGAAATGCTCGTACTCACATGCAATACTACTGGCTGTGCATCACCAAGTTTTTCATGGAGAACCCAAATGGACCACCCTCTTGGAGGAACAGTGAACAACTACAGGACGTACTCTACCTTGACTATGAATCCAGTTAGTATTGAGAATTATAATGATTATCTGTGTACTGCCTTCTGCAATGAAAAAGGGAAAAAGGAGAAGAGTATCAAAGTTGAACTTTACTGTAAGTAAAAACTACTTTTACTTAGGTAGTACTCATTCATTTAAAAAAAAAAAAAAAAAGATGAATTGTTCTTAGACATTGCAGCTGGTATTTAACTGATAATGATAGAATAAGGAGTCTGATAAAGCTCAACGTATGTTTCCTTGTAAAGATTCCTCTGTCTGTTCAGGATGTTCTCAGCCCCTTTTTGCTTAGCTTTCTATCTTGAAGATAGTATGTATTGCTCTTATTTGTTTTTATTGTTGGTAATACTTGAAAGCCAGAGCATAGACTCCCCAAAACTTTTATAGTGCTTGACCAAAACAAAAACAACACAAGAAAAAAAAAATCAGCATGGTAGAGATGGACATATATGGGAAAGCTATAAGTGCAAAACACCTAATCAAAGTCTTTGCAGTTTGCAGAGGGATGATCCAGATGTCTAAACTTGTCAGATGCCTCTGTTTACCTAGGTAGCTATACCACTGCCTAGGTGCCTTGTTGGATTTTATTAACTCATCTGTATATTTCAACAACTGTACGAATGTATTACCTGTTGGTGTGTGAACTGCTTATAAAAGACCTGTATATTTTCAAGGTATGTTTTGTAATAGAGTTGATATAAGGTTGTGTTCTGAACACATCTAAACTGAAGGTGTGTGATGTCTGGATCTTGCTCTTATGTTGACTCTAGGGCCAATCTCAAGTAGACTAAAGAAAAGTGTTTTGTTCATACAGCTTTCCCCAGTGATCCTGTCATTGAGGTCAGCACATCATTAGTTGCCGGGGAACCAGCCACTGTCATCTGTAAAATTCCTGATGTGTTTCCTTCTGATCGCCTGGAAGTACTCTTAATGAAAGAGGGACACACTCTTCATGCAAAAGATTTCTCTGAAGATGACAGCAGAAATAAAGAAACAAAAACTGTGACATACTCATTTAACCCCACAACTGAAGATATTGGGAAAGAGATTACTTGTGTGGCCAAATTGCCAATTGCTAACATGGACTTTGAGCCCAAAGAAAGAGTTACTTCTCTGAAACTGAATGCAAACTGTAAGTGTTTTTATATCAGGGCTTTCATACCAAATACTGTTTAATGTTATGGTTCATTAAATAGATTTATGAAGTTTGTGCTATAAATCATTAATAATCTGCACTTCTTTGTATTTATATAGTCTATTGCCTAGGATCTATGTTAAACTGTAGCAATTGTATTGCAAAAATATCAAAGCTAGGATATGCCTTTTATTTCTTAAATGTTATCTCTGAGCACAGTCTTTTAACATCTTTGTGGAACAGATAATGGTTTCATGTTCAAACGCCAGGGCATAGAAATTTAATGTTTTTATTCAGTAATGGTCATTGAGAAGCTTGTGCATATTGCCTTAAGCACCTGCTGTTGTTCATGACGGAATTTAATCTGTCCTGTGGTAACTCATCTGTCACTCTCATATCTTGGGCCCTGGTGCTCAATCAGAAAGTTGAAGACCAGAAGAAAAATGACAGTATGCAGAAAAACAATTATTTTTAAAATTGCCATGGTATGCTTAGCAATTTCAGGTTTATAGACTTAACAGGGAGACAAATGTAAGAGTAAACAAACACTAGCTTCGCTTTCAAAACTGCAAACTAAATGTCTAATCAAGTCTGGCAAAAGAGCTCTACTACACTAATGCTATCCACATTATTCATTTTTCCTTTGTAGTGCATGCAACACACCCGTAGAGAAGCTACTGTTAAAGATGTACATATCATTCTTCAATAACATGTTGACCTTGTCTTTCTTCTGTTTTCTTCCAGTTGGCCCACAAAATACTATCATTACTGTATCTCCAAGCAACTTTACAGTGGAAGGCAACCCTCTAAAACTCACTTGTGTGACTGAGAGTAATCCACCAGCACAAGTAGTTTGGAGCAAACATCTGGCTGATGGAAACATTGAGCATTTTATAGAAAACAATGTCCTTTCTATTCCTCATGCTCGTTTCACTGACTCAGGACTGTATATCTGTGAAGTAATTAATCTTGTAACTAATAAAACAGAAAAAGCAACAGTTGACATTTTTATACAAGGTACAAGTCTACTTGAATTTAATTCAGTAACAAGTCTGTGTATTGGGTTGGAGGGTGCTGACATACTGATATATAGGAAATTAAGAAGCTTTCCTTACGTTTTCAGGGTTTAACTTACAGTTTACTAATGTTCTTTAAGGCTATGCTTTTAATTTCTATGCTTAATTTTCAGCTAATCCTCTAAGGCTGTACATACATACCTCTGTATGTTTATTGCAATGCAACACTCAAAGTGATAAAAGAATCTGAAGAACTGGTATTTTGGGGGATACTTATTTCCTTGAAATAAGCTGTAGGAATAGTCTGTAGAAATAGTCCGTAGCAATTTCACGGCAACATCTCAGGACAGGTAGTTTTAGTGATTAGTAAATTTAGTGGTCATTTAATAGTACTACTTTGTGTACTACTTAGTGGTCATTTAATAGTACTACAAACTACTTTGGACTATATTTTGTTGTTGTTGTTGTTCTGATTATTGTGCTACTGCTGTTTTAGTAGAGCCAAATATTTCAGATGGAATCTGAGACCAAAACCAAAATGAGGAAATACTTGAGTGAGCAGTTCTTGATTTCATAAAAACCTCCACTATCTTTAGGATTATTTTTGCCTTATGCAGAATTAACATAACTAATGATATTTAAGTGGTTTAGCATAGATTGCAGACACATTCCACATTAAGTGTCACTTCATTTTTTCCGTACTTATTTTCTGCTGCACATTGGTAGTCAGTTCCATTTACAAATGTCACAGATGGAAGAAGGAGAACTCTTGGCTCCATGCCTACACTGTCAGTGTCTACGCTATTCCTTAAAATAATCTTGTGAGGAGGGTTACTCTCAGCAGAAAGTTGTATGGAAACATTTTTCCTACTTGAACTGTTGTAGAAGACTCAGTGCAGAGTTCTACAATTTTAGGGGCACCTGCGTGACAAGAAAAAACGGAGACAAAAGGTGGCCCCAACGCCACTGTCATTTAGGTATCTTTAAATAATTAAGGGTGAAATCTGCCTTAGTACAGATCGCTTATATGAAGTTCTTCATGTCAGTTGAGTTTTCATCACTCCTTTGAATTGGCAAACATGCATGAGACAAAGAACCTATGCAGAGAAGTGCCTGTGTTTTCCATCAAATAGTTCTTGGTATAGGATCCAGTTACCTGCATACAAAAGATTCAAAGAGAAAATACAAGCTAATTTTTTTCTGTGGAGGAGACTACAGCGCACCTTTTGGCTTTCCTTTGAGCTACAACTTCATAGACTGTTCTTGCAACTGCCATTTAAGCTATGCCAAATGTTGACTCCTCAACTAATATGAAATGATTGCAGTTTCATTTCAGCAGTAAGTGGATTTCTCTACTTAAGCCCTGCTGCTGTTTATTACATGACAACGAAGTAGTATATAGGGGTTATTTCTGGCACTAATCTATGTCTTTTCATTATTCTCTACTTGTAGCGCCACCAAAAAATACAACACTTTCAATTTTCCCTTCAAGTGTGGTGAAGCAAGGAGAAAGTGTTACCATCTCTTGCACATCTGCAGATGTTCCAGCTGTTCAGATTACCCTGAGGAAGAAAATAGGTGATGTGATCACAACCCTTGAAACAGAAGATGGCAAATACACCATAGACAAGGCTCAACTAAAGGATGCAGGAATATATGAATGCATATCCATTAACAAACTTGGAAATCAGTCTCAACACATAGTACTTGATGTCAAAGGTAAGTTAAAATAACTACCGTACAGAGTTAATATTTGGTTTAGATGGATGGAATGACGATGTCTTTAAAAAACTGAGATGAGTTGCACAGGTTCTTGACATAAGTGGTAGGGTATTAGTGGTGATGAAAACTTCTGTCCGGATTTGCAGAGCACAAAATATTTGCTTATTCAAAATATTTCATATTTCCACTTCCCCCCTGACTTTAAAAACAGGATTTAAAATTGTGGAAGCTGGTGAAAAGCTGTTATTTTAGGACTTCTTTGCCTTTTGTACTTCTTTTCTATTGAAAGAGGACCTTGGGATCTATTGGTCTGTGTCCTTTCATGAACTCAAATGAATACACAGTGAATTTAAAACAAGAGAAGAAAAGGCTCCATATAATGTAAAGATACACAGAATACCCCCATCAAAATGTTCTTTCTGTCAACTGCTGTTGGATGAAGTATGTGTGGGATAGCCAGTGACAGAGTAGTGTCTGTCTAATATTCTAAAGCTATGTGCTTGAAGAATGTAGTGAATTCATCAGCTGGATTAGTACTTCTCATATACAAGCCGCTGATACTTTGTGAGTTTTGGTGTTTGTTTTTTTTTTTTTTTTTTTTGCTTCTGTTTATTTCTAATTTGTATGTTGTGTTTCTTTTCAGTTCCTCCTCAAAATATTACCGTGTTAGTATATCCATCAGAAAATGTTAAAGAAGGAGAAAATGTCACTATAACATGTAGCACATACAGTAACCCACCATCACAGATGGTCCTGAAAAAAGTTCACCAAGAGAGAGAAATTATTCTGCCATCAGTGAATGGAACCTTTACACTCTACAATGTCACCAAAAACGATACAGGCAAATATTTGCTTGATGTTTTCAATGAGGTTGGAAACAATATCAAAGTGATAGAGATAGCTGTTATAGGTAAGTCAATGTATTACCTTAAACTTATTTTGTTTGCACCTTCCAATGAATTTTGTGTCCAGGTGAGCAAAACTAGTTCACAGATAGTTTTCACAGCTGATATTTCACAAAAATACTGCACATAACATTAACTAATAAATAAAAAAAAAAATAACAGGACAGCTGGTGAGAACCTCTTTTCAGCATGGATGTTGTCTCTGCTACCTGAGTTGGCATAGTAGCTTTAAGGATATGGCTAGAAAAAGGTGGATTCTGGCTCCATTCTGTCCCCTGCATGAACTACACATGATGTTCTTCTTGTATTCTTTATGAACTCCATGGTAATCTTTATTGTAGATTATATCAGATGGGTCTGAACATGCTTAGCATAGTGAAGACCAAGATACCTGCCAAGAATTAAAGTAGTACTATGAAGTTACTAAAGAAAACAAACAACAACCAAAAAAAACCAAACAAACAAACAAACAAAAAAAACATAAGGAAAAGGTTTTGAAATGTGCTTTGTGCATGAAAACAGAAAATGTGTTCCAATGAAGGTCATTAATAGCTCTGCCTTTAGTTATACATTTATATCCATTTGAATCAATTTTTACACAACTTTTTTTTCCTTTTGTCTCCATTTTCAGGAAAAATGGAAAAAAGACATCAAATGATGCCACTGATTATTGCATTCTCTTGCACAACAGCAATAGCGATACCTGTGGTTGCAATTTTGATCTACATGTCAAGAAAAGCGAAGATAAATGGATCCTACAGTCTTGTTAAAGCACTGAGGCTGAAAGTGTGACTGTGTGAATATAAGTCTAAGTAGTTCATAGTAAGCAATGTTATTTATTGTTGTGACTGGCTCTACTCCTCTACATTTGGTAACAAACAAGTGACTTAAGAACACTATCGTGTGATAGTAAATGGAAATTTTTTCAAGTCTTGTTAAGAATTTCAGTATTTAAATGAAAGGGAAGGCCAGCATCCTGTCCTAAGAATAGATAATACACTTCCGTGTCGAAGCAGGCTGAACAGAGTTCCTTGGAGAACTAGGTTTGTACATAGTGTATAAATTGTGTTATAAATATGTTCAACTGGATATCAGTTTGTAAAATTGCAGTCTCTGCAACTGTACATAGATTTTGTTAATTCAGAAATACAAATCAGCATTACTTGAGGTGATCAGATGATATTTTATTTTGTATTATTCCACAGAGTGACTGTTTTTAATATAATCTTTCTGCTTGTGATAATGTTTGGAAAATGTTCTCTTTTCATTTATTTTACCATAAACTCTGTACCTCCAAAGAAGTTACACAATCACTGGGCTGTACACTTTCAATTATTTTAAATTAATTTACTATCTGAAGACTTGTTCGTGAAATATTGTATTTTAGTAAGTGAATATATTATTATGAATATTATTCAGAAAGTGGCTGGGATTATATGTTAGTTTTAGGACAGCTAAGGTGTTTATGTAGGATTCAGTCATTCACTAATTAATGGTAGTATTCTGTTGTTTCCTGACGAACCAAATCAGACCCTTTATTTAGAGTATAAGCTACCATTAACTATACATTTACGGATTTCCACTGCAAGATAATACTGTTGCTGGGTTTCTTTTAGATTCCTCTAGTAATTCTTGCTTAGTATTATGTCAGAATACCTGCTTACCATATCCCCTTAATAAGCTAATAAAATAAATAAGCTAATGCTTATTTTTTGGAGAGCACAATGGTTTATACTTGGAAATCAGCTGCTGAAAATGTAGCTAATTTCTATCTGTGGACTTCATTTGATATATGCAAACTTAGAGAGATCTTGGTGTAGGTTAGCGTTATTGAGGGAAAACTTGTGCAGTTCTCAGGCACGTTCCTGTGGAAGGAACGAGTGAAAACTGCTGTCATTAGCAATAGCAGGTTGTGTCAGGGGAAGCTCTCTCTGTAAAGGCATGAGCTACTCTGAGTGTATGTAAGTGGGGAGAGGCAAAATCTGTGCAACTTCAGCCACAGTGGTTGAGTTGGTTACTGGAACAATACCCTTCCCAGGCTGCTCACTGTGGAAAATCAGATTACTTGCCTGACAGATTTCCTTTCAATAGACAACCTGTGCCTGTGTGTTTCACCCTGGCTAGTGCCCCTTGCCACCACGTGCTCTCTCCAGTGCTGGGAAAATGGCTGTGAAAACAGTGGGCCTTCTGTGCACAGGCAAAGATGAGAGGTGGAATTTAATGGTATTCTCCCTTATATCTCTTCTCCTGGACAGCAGTGCTGCTTTGACTCATTAGGTCAGTGATATTCAGCTCTAAAGGCAGTTGTGGGAGGTACAAAGCCAGGTTACGCATGCAGGTGCTGAGGTATTGGAGTGCATTTAGGCCCAGCAGCCCTGGGGCACTGTGTCAGGCACAGGATTGTGGGCCTGGCTCCTCCAAACATACTCGCATACACCAACTCTGACAGATATGTGAAAGGAATTTCTTCATATTATTTACCATTCTTTAAAAATGCTAACAGCTGCTACCAACAGCAGTACAAATGCAGATGTCTCTTGGGAGCTAGCTGCAGGGTGAGGTGGGGTACGGATCTCTCATGTCTTCTTCATAACACGTTCTGCACTGTTTTGTGCACAGTAAATCAGTTCATGCAGGGTCCTATGCTTATTTACAGTTGGAATGGGAGGTTTGGAAAGTGGGGGTGTAGCAGAAAAATGGGAGAGCAGTGTGGACTTGGCTTGGAGGAATGTGAGCGTGCAGTAGGAGGGCGAAGAAAAGATTGAAGACAGAGGAGGAGGAGAGCTTTGACAGGCCCATGACATAAATTTCTTGGAGGTGGTGCCAGGCAGATTTATTCAGAATAATGTCAGGCCTGTCTCTGTGCTGGCTTGTGAGCAAACCAGAAAGTATAATTTTTCAACTGTGTGAAACTTTAGTGCACACACATTTTGTCTACTGAGCACAGTTCTGGCTTCTGTATTGCAATAAAGATGTAGCACACGTAGAAGATAAAAAGTAAAGAAACCAAAGTGATTAAGAGGATGGAGGACCGGGGGGGGGAGGGGGGGGAAGGAAACATTAAAATGTACGGGACTTTTCAGTTTGGATAGGGAATTCTGAAGGAGGAAGAGATATGACCGAAGTTTTCAATATTGTGAAGGTAGTTGATGACAAACAACAGATGCAGAACTGCTGGTGGCTATATCATGCCATGCCAGAACTGCAGGGCACTCAAGCAAGGGGTAGACCAGGTTAACACAAATAATAGAAGGTACTTCTCACAGCAAGGGGGAAAAAAAGTAGAAGCTGCTGCTCCAGGAGGAAGACAGTATCAATTGGCACTAAAGGGGAAAGAAAAAAAATAATGGACTAAATGTCCAAAAGCAAATAATAAAGGGAATAGGCAGAAATTTTTCAGGGAATACACTGCAGAAAGTGGCCAGGTCTGTATACTGTCCCAGAACAGTCTCTCACTGCTGGAGATGTACTGCCATAGTGGTCACACCTGGTAAGGCATTTCTTGCTTTCTTAGGCCTTTTCTGAATGGGCTGTGGTCAGACTTGCTTGGAGAAGGGGCATAGCGGTTTCTGTGCTGTTTTTCCCTCTTTGTAGTCCCTTAGAAGGAATAAAAAGATACCTCTGAGTATCATCTGAGTAAAAGATGAATGGGGGAGAAATAAAGTCATCTCACAACGGCACTTAGGTGCTTGTATATTTTTTCCTGGAAATTCCCTTCAGGTTCACAGTATATACAAGCACCTAAGTGCTATTGCAAGATGACTTTTATTTTTCCCCCATTCATCTTACCTCTTCCCTTGTGTCCTCTGAGCAAGAATTTATCCCAGAAATGCTGTGGGGCAATGCTAAATGTCAATGCTATAAATTTAATGAGTATAAATTTTAGAAAGTGATTATAAAATCTCACTCGCCACAACTAGTTTGAAACGTGTTCCTCCTTAAAATGTAAAGCTCAAACAGAAGAAGTTTTTAACCTTTTAAAAACTTTTTTGAGAATGCTTTCAAATGATTTTGTAGGTATACTGAAAGGAACAGTTAATAAATCCCATTACGGAAGTGCTAATTCAGTTTGTCTGGCCTTTTATGCCTTTCCTCTCACAAGATAATTGTATCCTGTAATTAAGCTGTCTCTCGTCTCTTTGATAAACTAGAGCTGTTTGAGCTGTTTTAAGCCTACCTTTGTCTATAAGGCCTTTTCTGCAGTACATAAATAAACCATGTGTTCTTTTCTAAATCCCTTCCAGTACTTCAAAGTATGATGTAAGGTCTCAACAAAAGACCTGTATATGATGCTCCTGTACTGCTGCTGCTTTTCCAAGAGGTGATTTTGTTTCTTTATTCCTAATGTTTGCAGCTCTGATTACATAAACAGCCTTTTTTACATTAACTTTATATATATATATATATTTGTTGTTGTTAGAGAATCACTGTGGAAACTTGTTCAATTCCTTATTCCCATTACAGTTTCTCAATCCTTTATAGGATAGATTCCCTCAGAGGAGTTCTGAGGCACAAATGCCTCGTAAGTCCAAATACCTTAAATACAAATTTTCTGTTGTAGCCTACATTCCATAAAACCGTACTGACTGACACTAATTATGTTTCTAATCCTTTAATCCCTGTATCATCTTTTGTATTATTTAAATCTTTGTCATAACAACCAGTCTGAATTTTACTGTAACCATTCAGCTGACCAGTAAAAAAGCTGACACTTTTTGAACCTACGTGTATATTCAGTTTCAAAGCTGCTTTGCATTTAAAAAAAAAAGAAATGAGAGAAGCAGATATATCAGGAAACTACCTCTCTTTTTTTGTTGTCTGTGTGCAGCCCAACTGTCTTTAAACATCACAGTCTTTGAGGTCCATATGCTATGTATCCTGCCACCAGAGTGATGAGGTTTTGCTAACAGAAATATCAAAATGTTTGTAAAAAGAGTAATGTGCTTTCCTGTTAGCTACCAGGCATCTTAGTAAAAATTTATTGTTCTGAGTAACTGGGTAGCTACCAGGCAACAAAGCAGGGAATCCGCTCTACATCCCTCTGCCCTTTCCACCTGTGTAGTTCTTTTGATGCTGCTGAAGTGCACAAAATGGCCAAACTGAGATACAGGGGTGTGAAGTCTTCTTTGCTAACTCTGTTCTTTGTTCCTCTTGGTGAGTCTGATATGTCTATGATTTGTTGTGAATGAAACAAGGGGAACGGTTTTTTGGTTGGCTGAAAATTTACGTGTGCAAGGACACCTTTTGCTTTTTGCAAAGTGAAGAAGTTCAGATATTTAAATCCTAAGATTTGTGCCAGGACTAACTGAAGATTTACTAAAAAATAAATAAATAGAAGATGGGTCAGGAAGATGGGTCTGTGAGTCTAGAGGAATGTGAACTCTGTACTTAATGTCACTTTACAACTTGACTTGGGGGCAACAATGACATCTTTTTTTCCTTGAAATAATGAAATGTATACAAGTATGTCATAATTGAACCAGAAAGGAGCATATGAGGAAACCAGAATGACTTTATTTTTCTTTGCTGCATTTAATTGTAAAAATCAGAGTGTTACGACCTAATGCTATTTTTCTCTTAGTTTCCCTTTGTTTGAATGAGAGGCAGATATGGGACATATGCTGTCAGCAGCTGAAAAAAATGGTGCCATAGAAGCTGAATGAATCCATGTTCCCAACACAGATGTCATGTCTTGAACACTCCTACACATTTCAGATAGATGTATTTTATGTTGTTCTTCCATATTTTTCAAGGGCTGAGAGACAGAGTGGTGGAGACTTTATTAATTTTTACTGTGATGTAACTTTGTGACATTGATACCTGTTAAGCCACAGAGCCTTTTCACTGCACCTAGTCAAACCTAGGAGATTAAACTAACTTTTTACATTCCCATACACTTCAGTATGCATGAAAGCAAAACAAATCATAGCACTAGATCATTTAGCACTGCTTCTAACATGCAGCTGAAGGGAGAACTTCAGGAAATGGGCTTGGGGTATTAAAATTTTACCACAGATTATGCTTTGGTTTCCCTCCTTCAATATCAGAAATACAAATAAAATAAATAGAGATAAAACATGAATCCCTGCAATTTTAAAAATTATATTAAAAATAAAATAAAATTCAGGAACATTTTGTCCCTCTCTACCTATCTAAGCATCATAGCAGTAGATGATGGCATGATTCTTCCCTGCTGAATAATTCATTTGGACACTCTTATCTGAAAAGCATGCAGAAATAAACATTTTAGGGAGATAATTTAGTTTATGTAGATAAGCTCTGGGAAAAAAGGAAAGAAAAAACCTTCTCAGATACAAACTATAGTTCTGGCGCCACTTTATTGTTGAGTCTTTTGTTCTAGTTCACAGCCAAAATGGCCTTTCTGCTGATAACAGAGTAGGGATAGAGCAGATAGCATCAGATTTGTTCATATTGATTAAACAACATCACTTCTTTTGAGAAATTGTGACAATGTTGGCATAAATAACTCTTTCCAAATTGTCTGAGTTGAAGTAAAAATCAAGAACGTGGCAGAATTGTGCTCCACTTCCCTTGTTTAGCAGCTCAGAAAGGGGTATAGCTGTAGAAGCAGATAAAAAAAAAAAAAAAAAAAAAAAAAAAAAAGTATAGGATACAGGAGAATTTATTTCCACATCTAAATAATAGGCTGATAATTCTATGTTCAAAATGAAGATGTACTGAAATATTCTGCTTATTAGATCTATAACAGTTGCTGAGATAACTTAATTCTTCTTTGTTTCATTCCCTGTTTTGTAGAAAGTATCTGCAGTGACAAGAAACTGAAGAGCATGCTCTACCAGTAGCATGCATGTATTCTTTTTTCTTTCCTGTATCTAGCTCACTGTTAATTCAATAGATGGGGGCTGTATAAATCTCTAAGATTTTAGCTTCTTTATATGTGGGAAAAAAAAATAGGAAAAACTGTTGTGGTTCTTATTAGCAAAGCACTCTTGATGCAGAGATGAGAGAGGAGTGAATTAGATTATGACTGATGCATCTGTTCAGCCTTGGGCATGACTGAATGGCAAAGTGAGATGGATACTGGCTGACCCCCAAGGTTTCTGCAGTCTTTTAAATGTGCACACATAATTTTGGAACCTGGATTCAGAAAGTAGGTAGCAATATAGAAAAGACTTATCTAGAAAGAGACAGTTAAAGGGAGATGGAGATGCATAAGAATGACTCTGATGGAGAGCATAAGAATGACCATGCTAGTAGGTCAGACCAAATTTTTAACTAGCAGTAGATGAAAGTTAATGCCTGAAAAATGCTGTGGGAAATCAAAGCATATAGTAACACCTTCTCCAAATGCACTCCCAGCCTCCAACCGTTTTGAAGCTCGGTGGCTTTCTGAGTCAGAGTTTGCTTCTCTGTGTTTGAGTAACTTGCAATTAATTTGTTTTCAGTTTGTTTTGTCACTTGAAATTATGTAAATTTCTAGCATCCACAACACCCTTGTTTTCAAGGGAGTAAGCACCACTTTGCTGAGTTTGATATCCAGTGGTGGTGTTTCAGGGAGGTTTTGGAGTTTCTGCTTTATACTATTTTGGTTTGTAATCTTCTCAAAATGGAAGAAAGCAAGAGAGAGTTTGAGCAATCTTCCAACAACAAGCTACCTAGATTTCTAGATAATGTCTTGGACATGAGAGAATGTAGCATGAAGAATGCTACGCGTTATTGCTGTAAGCTGTCAGCAGCAGGAAGGTGGGATTTGACAGTGATCTCACAAAGTATAGCTGGAGGACTGAATGTGCAAAGTCTATGAAGGAGTAATTTTGCATGCAGTCTGTATTGTATTTAATGCAGTACGAGTGAGTAGTGAGCATTACTTTTGCATTTCAAGAGCTCTCACTTAGATATTTAACATTCAAAGTATTTTTTTAAAGCAAATGTAAGCATATTGCATAGTTGCTTTTAAAAATTAGTTGCTATAAAATTCCAGTTGGAGGAAAACCCGAATTTATTTCTTTCTTTCTTTCTTTCTTTCTTTCTTTTTTTTTTTTTAAGGTAGTCAGGCTACTGACATAATAGTATTTTTATTATGAGCTTATATTTGACTCAGAGTAGAATGTTAAAAACTTATTTTAAATAGTGTTTTCTTACTGTATCTCTGTGAAGTAAAAACTGAAGTTATTTAATTAGAATAGCATTGCAGACTAAACACTAAAAAAAATGCTTATCTTTAAGGTCTGGCTTGGCCACTTTTTGGACTGTTTTGAATGGCATGTCTGTTCACAAAATCGATTTTCATCTAGCAAAGCTGAGAAGAACTGTTTTCCAGAAGGTGTAAATCAACTTAGAATATTGCTCCTTTTTGAGACCTGGGCCTTTCCAAGGAACTGAAATCAAGGTAAAGAAGGATAGTTTTGAGGTGGTGGAAGGTCTCTTTTTGAGTCATTGAAGTACTGTAGATGAGAGTAGATTTTGGGTTTGCTGCAGAAAGATTGTTTGACTCCAGTTTTGTCTGTTTGAAATGAAATAAGGTAGCTGTGACAATTGTGTTCAGGGCTGGCAGGAGCAAGACTAGCCACCACACCTTCTCCTGTTCATTGCAAACAAGATGAAAGCCTTTACCATGCTTTTCACAACCTTGGGATTTTTTTATTTTTTTTTAATTTATTTTTTTAATGTACATTATTTGGGTTCTAATGTTTTAAGTGCTTAGAAACCTTGACCAGAGGTTAAAAAAAACTCCATTGTTAAATGTCCTAGAGTAAAATAAGAGTTAAAATAAAACAGGCTAGAGAGTAGTAAGGAAACAGATGAGAAAGAAATATTATGGAGCTTACTGAATTAGTGGAACATTTTAAAAATCTCATTTTATAAAAGATTGTTTGCATAGGTATTGTTTCCACCGTTAATGACAAAAACTTAATAATGAAAACTTCATTTAAAGGTAGCACTTTGTGAGATTTATCAAAATGAATATGTGAAGCCATAAACCAACAGCATGAAGCAAAGATGAAACAAGAGCTTCTTTTGTTGATGCCTGTGAAGACTGTGTAATCAGAGCTCAAGTCTATGACACTTGAAAAGAAAAGGTGTCAATTTTGAGCTGCAAAATTAATATCCTTGCCTTTAGTTAAAAGATGAATACCTCTTTTTAGTTGTATCTTTCCTGCAGTTGAAATGTCAAGCACAGACATCTGGAAAGTATGTGGTTTGAATATACATTTTAAGAAGATCCATCCTGGGGCTCCTGTTTTTTTATGGGAAGAGACAGAAGTCTGCAGTCTAGATAAAAGGAATGTATTACAGGGTATCTTCTAGGTCAGCCTGCGATTATATCCCAGTACAAGAGACACATACACATAAGAAGCACCTTCAATTTCATATAATAAGTTTGATCAATATATTTCTTGATATTTTTATGCAAGTTATGTGGTAGGATTTCCTAAGTTTAAAGAGGTCATGATTAGATTGAATTAAATCATGGATTTTTTTGAGAATATACTGACTACAGGTTTAAAAGCCAAAGTATGAGAAACTTTGTGGGTAGTGTAAGATTACTTTTCCATCCCATTTAATCTATTTTACAATTAAAAGTTTGTAATCTGCAGGTATGTTTAAACACCATTGCCAGATAGATTAAAAAATCCATCTTAGAAGGGCAAAGTGTATTTCTGGTCTGGTTGTAGTCTTTCAATATCCCTCTGCTTACCAGGGGTTAGAGAGAACACAGTCCGTTCTCAGAGGTGAACAGTAATAAGACAAGGAATTACATTTGCAACAAGGGAAGTTCTAGTTGTGTGTGAGCAAAAAATTGCTTATGGCAAGGGTGGTTCAGCACTCAGAACAAGTTACTCAGTGGTTGTATAAATTCTGTCCTTGAGGATTTTTGCAGTTCAACTAGAAAAGAGCCTGAGTAAACTAATCTCACTTCAAAGTTAGCCTTGCTTTGAACAGGGCAATGGACTTGATGATCTCCTGTGGTCATCCCAGGTTAAATTCTTCTGTAACATGGTGTTACAGAGCCTTCCTTGAGTTACTGTTGCTTGTTTCATAAGGAACGATGTCATTGCCATACAGGATAAAATAAAAAATGCACAAACAGTTCTTTGGTAATAAGCAGCAACCAATGTTTCACAAGAGGATGTAAAAAACACCCCTGAAGACAGATTTAGGAACAGCTGCTTCTACAGTATTTTTGTTTGTTTGTTTGTTTGCTTCTCTGATATAAGTTGCTTAAATTTAAGTTTGCAGGCATAAGACTTGGTCTCTCTTCCAAATCACTGATGTTAGTCATAAGTCTAAATTGCCAGCCATTTTATGACTCTTGCTGAAGTACTGTCCTAAATTGCTTCCTGTGGATAAGAGTAGCGTAG